TAAATAAGGCGACACTCGGACGAACTCATACTTTTTTTTTTTTAAATAATCCCATGTTTAGATGCAATTCGATAGAACTATTTGAATAAGTCCACTTTTAGATGTACTTACACCCCTAGAGTCACCCGCCAAGCAGCCAATCAGATTAATCGTCTCCAAACTTTCGACACACCTGCTGCGCGTGTCAGCCCCCCGTCTCCACCCGTTACATTGTATTGGACTGCCATCAGGTCTTTTCCCTCCTGTCGTAAATTAAAAACCGACAGCCTTTGTTTTCCTTCTTTGGTAGCTGGCCATCTGGATGGCCAGGCGGATGTGACTTCTTCTGGCCATGTGTCAAACATACAATAGGCTATACAGGGCTATAATAATGGTACTCGTGAAGAACCAGGAAGAGGGATTTCGAACGGAAATATCTCGATATCTTGTGTTGTACCCTTTGAGAGCCAGTCGTGTTTGTTATGACACGAGGCAGTTATTCATAAACTCAACATCTATTAAGAAAAGCTTGAAACTCGGTTGTTAGAATCGGCAACAGAGGCAAACGCACAGAGATCTATCGGAATGACAGATCTGACTTATGTGTATGCAGATTGTTAGTATCTCGCCTCTCAGGCAGATGCACTCCAAATCAGAATAAAGCTTATGCCTTGTTGCCTTTTACGACATGCTTGTAACCCCCCCCCCCTTCTACACCATAATGAGACTGCAGTACCCACACGGAGAAAGTGCCTTAAGATATACTAAACATGTTTGTAAAACTGTGGCTCTGTAATTCAGCGACGTGTATGACCCAGGGATACAGACACAAATAAAACATTAATGGTGCTCCAGAAGGGAGGGAGATGGGGGTGCTCTTTACATCGGTAAAGTCTAAACTATCACTTGAGAAGGCAAGGCCTACATGCCAGTTACCAATGATGAAAGGCATCCGCTGCGGGGCAATCTTGAAAATTTAAGAGAAGACGGGTTGAAAAGAGGAAAGTCATAGATGGCACTAGCTGAAGATACCATCGATATGGCGGCCTCAGTCAAACAAATACACAGGGGCTGGAATGGATCGACACGAACAACCACAACAGCAGTTTTCATCAGGTCATTATCACGTTAGGAAGAGAAGGTAGAGAGTGGTGTAACAGTATGCCAGAATTAGAGGTACAACAATTGATAGATGGAAAGACTGGACTAGATGATGCAGTAGTGTACACCGATGGTTCTGCTCATCGGGGTGTAAGATCTGGCTGGGGGTTTTCAGCTAGAATGAAGGGGGAAATTGTGGCAGAACAAAACGGAGTTGTTTTTTTTTATCTACAACTTCAAGCATGAGAATGGAAGTGGAGGCAATCACTGCAGCTCTGAAGTGGATAGCAACAACAAAAAAAAGTTACCAGAGGAATTATTGTGTCTGATTCTTAGTTTTCTATTGTGGCATGAGTGGATACCAAGTATCAGTACGCCAACACTGCAGGGAGTCACGTGAAAAAACTGTCCGCGACAGGCTAGAGTGCGAGGGAATGAAAGAGCGGATGTTCTGGCTACAAAAGCGAAAGCTACGGGAACACTCGTATTGGACAAAGGAGATATTCTAAGACCTTACCTGAACGACTTTTGGTAGAAGACAGGAGATTACATGAAATAACATGGACACGAAGGCGTGAGCGTGGAATTAAGTGTAAATCCGGCAAGGAGGGACGGATGAGAGGAAGAGATCGCGTGGTATAATCAGTGTGCTACGGGAACAGTTAGCATCTACACCTTAATTAGTAATCAGTAATCGGGGGGGGGGGGATTTACCTTAACATTTCTCATAGACTAGTGGGGGAGGCTGAAGCCTCCAGACTCCGATACCCCTGAAATCCATGACTTGGTAAATCGTACCAGAGTACTTGAGCCAGGCCTGACATGAGCTATTGGTGATAACATCGCCCACGCCAGTTGACAAGAACTGATGTCATACTTTTTACCAGGCCTGCTTTTTTAAACGTTATATCAAATTGGGCGCCTCTTTTAACTTTGCCGCCCTTGCCGGAACGCTAATGTTCATTAACACAGACTATCCAGGGCAGCAGGGCGGTGGGAACGGACCCTGACGCTGCCGTCAATGTTGTTAATTACCACTCCTCCCTGACACATTCATGTGTCAGACATGACATCCCATTTGCACGGAGTCAGGGTGGTTCAGCGGGCACGCGTCAGCCGCAATAAAGCAACGCCTTTGTGGTAGCTGTTAGTTTCTGCAATGTAAACTAGGTACATTAGTGAAACTCAGACACTTCATTATTTGTGCTGGACAAACGAAAGGTATTTTCTACTTGGAGAAAACGCAACAAAATTGTGGAACTACTTTAACCGCCCACCCTCCACCCAACACACCCCTAAAGCCCAGTGTATAGATAAGCGCACAGAGTGTTTATACATTTAATCTGTTGCTTATGTTTCTCCTGTAAACTTATAGATCACAGGATTTATGTATTGTTGTGTTCTATTGTGACGAGTATGCGTTTAAAAGTGAAAAAAGTTGGATATACTCTTTACTGTTAAGTCCGAAGTATCACAATCTAAAAACCGTCTCCCCCCTTACCCAACACGACCCTGGACAGGTTAAACCTCCCAATATAAAAATACGCTCTCGAGTGTTTATAATAGTAATGTCTTTAATTGTGTCTTTTCTGTTAACTTATAAAGATGGGATTTGTATATTATAGCATTCTTTTCTGAGTGTGCGTGTAAAGGTGAAATAATTGGGACATAATCTGAACTGGAGTTTCAACCGCATCACAACCAAGCAGGTGCGACAGCCTAGACCACTCCGCCAGGGAACTCTTCCGCCATCTTGGTTTGAATGTCGGATAGATCGTCTGGAGAGGGCAGTCGCTGAACAAACACAAAATATTTCTCTATCAGCAGTTTCGATTTCCTTCTATTGCCGGTCCATGACGACCGTATTTTCGGTATGTAGCATTGTGTGATTTCCTTACTGGGATTATTACCTTTGGTTTTGAGCATTCTAATTTGAGAAAAGAATGAAGAAATCATGAATGCGAATCGACGGCACGATCGACGCTGCGGCTGCTGTAGTGTTGTGTTTTCGGATTTGATGTGAAAATTACTGAACACTCACTCAGCTTTCCTTCCAACTTCTTCAAAATATATCTGTGCGATCTTCACAATAAATGCTGGCCACAGTAGACATTTGTATCCAGTGTTGATTTTAGGAGATATTACGTGTTTGATATTTACAGTCTCACCCAAAGTCACTTAGCCTAGCCAGAAACTTTCTGGAGAAAGAAACGGTTTTTTTTGTTGGGGGGGGGGGGGATTTGGGGGGGGGGGCTGATTTGCATTATCTTGACTGCAGTCATTGACTGAGTCAGTCATCCTGTTCTCATCACTCTAGAGTCAGTAATATTTAATTTAACTGGACACTGTCATGAACCATGGCAGCTGAGAAATACCAATGATGAAATATTGTTTTATGGGCCCTACAAATGGCGACATAAAAGAGGATATGTTGTTCCCCTAAAAAATAAATCTGTTGGTTTTAATTTCTGGATTTATCAATTATTTCACTAGCAAAACTAGAAAGACTCACTCAGGACTTGTGTGTTTTCTTATTGCTTTATTTACAGTTGAGTGTCATGATGAAGGAAATATTTAAATGAAAATATGATTCAATCATAAATATTACAGAGGTTACATAATATTGTGCAGCACACTTTACTGATAAACTGGAATACTAATTGTCAGGCAATACTGCAGTATTGAACTCTGAAGCATAAAATGATAATAATTTAAAAATAAAAACCACAAAACAGACAACTAAAAGTAATTCCTCATTTTAACAATCCTGTGACAATGAAAAAGATGTTACAATTTAGAGATATCACCTGAAAGAAAGGTGTTAAACAATGGTGATCTTTTTCTCTTCTGTTGTTTTAGTGCTGATGCCTGCCAAAAAGTGTCACAGAGGCTTTAGATACAGTTTTAAGTGATGGTTACAATTATGAAACAAAAATTCATGTATAGTGATTCATCAACACTGCACAGCTACAGAATTATATGCATGCCACAGTGCTAAGTACTGATTAAACGTTAGGTCAGTCAAATGTTTTGTGAGCTGTTAGTTGCATTTGACTCATTCAGATGATTAGGATATTGAAAGAACTGCAGCATCGGCACTAGTATCGTATAGAGTTGAGACTAATTAAAAATGAGAAAAAGGATGGCTACAGTGAATATATATAAACAATAATTAGCTGTTATGTTAGTAACATCAGAAGAAAGAAGACAGCAAAGGTGAGAAAAAGGATGGAGACAATGAATATATAGAAACAATAATCAGCTGTTATATTAGTAACATCAGAAGTAGAGAAGACAGCAAAGGAGAAATAAGTGACAGAGAATATGTTACATCTGATGGAGATTAGGAGAAAAAAGTAAGCACAACTAAGATGATTATGAAAGAATACATCAAGAAATAGTGCATTGATATAAAACGAAAGGAACAAAGCTAACTAATAAATGCAAATGAAGTGAAGAACACATAGAGAACCCACAAGACATGTATCAAATTATACAAGAACTATCCCTAACAAGCATCTCATAAAAGGTGACTTACTAGAGGTGTTTCCTGCAGATATCCCTAACAAGCATCTCATAAAAGGTGACTTACTAGAGGTGTTTCCTGCAGAGATCCCTAACAAGCATCTCATAAAAGGTGACTTACTAGGGGTGTTTCCTGCAGAGTCAGTGTGTCTGCCTGAGAGGAGCCAACAGTATGCAAAAAAAAAAAAAAGCCAGATTTGTCAAATAAATGTTCACGGAAAACTCAAGTTCTAGAAAAAGCCTAATTACTGTATAGAAATGGGTGGACAGTCAGAACTTTCCATTTGAGTTTACAGCCAATGAACACCAAGGAAAATAAAAAGATAATTGATCTCTTCATTAGAAGTGTAATTTGTCAACTTGTCTCTTCCCTAGAAATTCAACATTTGGTAAACATGAGTAGCTACCAGATGAATGCCGGCAGTGGACCCATCCGGGCCAGTGAGTATCTGTTAATTATTCTCTGTTACTTCTTAACCCAAGAATCCAACAAGCCAACAATGTCGCATACCAGCTTGCCCCAATTTTAAAACACCCTGCTGTCCCAGCTGAGATAAAAAGACAAATTATAAATACAATCTTTATACCGACATTAGGTTATCAATGTCAGACTTGGACATTAACAAAAGAACATGAGAGAAGACTAACCACCTGTGAAATGAGATGTTTGAGAATGGCTGCGAATAAAACAAGAAGAGATCGAGTGAGAAACGATGTGATTACAAGAACTATTGGAACCATACCCATCGTTAAATTTATTGAGAAGCAAAGAATGAAATGGTTTGGTCACCTAATGAGAATGGAACCAACGATGCCAGCATCAAGAGCATACAACATGAAAATCGAAACAACAAGAGGCAGGGGAAGACCAAGAAGAAGATGGATTGAAGGAGTCACGGACAACTTGAGACTCCATAACATCACGGCATATGAAGCGATTGAGCGCGCCCTGGCTCGGTTGCCGATCATCTGATAGACTGCGACGCCTAGCGGCACAAGCAGATTTTGACAAAAGAAGACTTCTTAACCCCAACATGATTTTGTCCAGCACCATATGTCCAATGCACCAATGGTATCAGAAGGGTTCTTTGCTTTTGCTTCCATAAATAGTTCATGTTTTCTTGTTCAGATTTCTCTATTACTGTCATTATTATTGCTTCATGTTTTCTTGTTCAGAGTTGAGTCAAGAATTGACATCACAGCACTAGGAGAATTCCCATGCATGCTCTGTCCTCATCTTCAGCAGCCAGTGCAGATTTTTAATACTGATGGTACCGGTCACAATCTGGTTAAAAGTCTGTCTTGCCTTTCCTTTGAGTGTAGTGAGCCGGCCAGACTCTCTGGTTAAACCAAGGTGCCTCATTCTCTCCAGACTTGATGTCTGCATGTTTGAGGACTATCTTTTCAGCCAGCTTCTGTATCCAGGTCTCTTTGTGTCTACCCTAGACCAAGTCTTGTTCAAATTACTCTATTACTGTCATAATTGTTCTTGTGGCAGTTCTCTCTTTTTTTTTTAAATTAATAATATTTGTCCATTTGTTTTTATTATACTAGTTCTTGGAAAATTACAACTGGCATCCTATAGGTAAGAGTAGCTTGGATCCCTTGATAAAACTAGATTCAGGGTATATCATGGGTTTTGTGTTGACAACATTCAGGTGTGCGGGGTAATGAGCAGACAGATAGGCTGCTACAGTTCCTCTGGGCAGTGAGCTACATTTGGATAAAGTGGACGTAGTTGGCACTCTAGGATCAAATGGACAGTGTAATAGAACAGAGAGTCCATACGTTGAAGGACTGATGGGACTTAAAGGCTCTGAGGATACTTGGCACTGAGGAGCAAGCATGGTTACACATTTGATCATTCTTCAACTGGTACTATTAGCATATCCTCTGTTTGCTGGCTGCTGAGGGAGGACATGGGGCAGGTATGGAAATGTGCAGTGATTTCAGCTCTTTAATTATTCATCCATTTGGGATCAAGTTAATGCAGTGACGTCACCAGTCAATACTGATTTGCCTAATAATGCAGATTCGTCAGAATATTTATTATTGCCTAAATGGTCAGGTTTTATGTCACTTAGAATCATGGAACATACCTGCATGCATGCAGTACCTTTCTTTTTGTGTGTGTGTGTGAATCAAAGCAGCCTTATGATATATGACTAAAAAAAAAATACTAAATTACATCATTATCATGATAGTCTCACAGCAGGGCATGTTGTTGTTATGTTATCGTTAACCATGCGGTCAGTTCCCTAGAACTCTATCGGCCAGAGTTAGTGGACTTGATGTTTGCTTGTTTGAGGTCTGTCCTTTCATCCAGGTTCTGTATCCAAGTCTTTCTTGGACTCCTTGTGTCCTACCCTAGACCTAGCCTTGTATTTTGGACCAAACATAAATTTAAAAAAAACAATTTAAAAACATAAATAACTGCAGGCCAGTGCACTAGCTATTTTGCTAGCACAGCTTTTTAATGCATGTAAGACTTCTTAAAGGGACATCTCTGCTGTCTACATCTGGAGGGAGGAAGGGGATGGGCAGAGGAACAACTGCTGGGAATGATCTAAAGACTGGAGCAGCTGCTGTGACTTCAAAAACCGAACTGTGACATGGGTTTTGTCTACTCGGGTCTTGTAACGTTACAGTAATACTGCATAGATGCTGGTGGTATTCACAGCCTCGGGTATTCTGTCCATCCATCACCTGCATGATCAGCCTCTAGATGTGCCTTCTTTGTATCCGAATGAGAGGCCTCTTATTGCTTTTGTGGACCTTTATTTATTTTTTTTTAACAGCGTGTCTAGATTCTAAACAAAAAAGACCCACTGTCCCCACCCCACCGCCACAACAGGCATGTCGTAAGAAGCGACTGATTAGGAGTCTTTCCTTCAAAGTCAGAATGCATGTGCCTGAGAGGCAAGAAACCAACAGTCTGCTTACAGATAGGCAGATCTGTAAAATGTATATACACTCAAAACTCAAATTCTGAATCAAGACCAGTCTTGAAGTAGACAAACAACGATACATTTTTCACTGAAGTGAAGAGCCAGTGAGCACTAAAATTAGGAATATTACAGTTTGTTATTAAGTTCTGCGCACGGTTGATTATGAAATATGCACAGGGGGGGGGGGGGGGTGTGCTTTGTGTTCTTTCCATGAAATTAACAGTAATTTCTCTGTCTGTGTGTGCAGTGGGTCCATCAGGGGATGCAACTTACATGGATCTCAGCAACATGCCTGTGGACAACAAGCAGCAGCAGACCATGATGTGGCAGCAGAGTCAGTACATGAGTGATTCAGGCATCCATTCTGGTCAGACCACACAGGTATAGCTGTTTTCTTTTGCTTACATTGATGATAGTAAAAGAACCTCCCAGAAAGGTGCCTTGAATGGTCTGTCTAGTCACTCAAGTAGAGCCCATTCTGTAATTCGTTATCCCTTATTTTCTTGAAACTTTTTTCTTAATTTTAGGTTAGTTTAAAAGTGATGTCACACAGGTTATTCCCATAAGCACTTGGCTTCCAATCTTCAACAGACAAGTTTCAATTCTTATATCAGTAGCAGTTTGATTTTACACTTATCTTGTCTTTCCTTTGAGTATTGACCAGATCTAGTCATTTCCTGCTGCACTGTTCTCTCTAGACTAATGTATTTATTTTATTTGCATTGTCTTAACAAGTATTTCCTAAAATGGGGCCCACACTGGGTGGAGGGTGGGGGTCAGTTTGAAATTGAGTATATGACCACACCTTGAACACAGGTCAACTGCATGGAGTTCAGCATTAAAAAAAAAACCACACACTGCAAGGGTAAGACAAGGTGCAAAATGAAGCTCTCAGTCATTACAGGTGGAATGCAATCAACACCTATAGCTGTAATGGAGAAGATGGCGACGACTCAGACACTGTCAGAATGAAGAGACACTAGGATACTAATACAAGCAGAAAATTTCCTAGCATGCCTGAACACCTTATGAAAGAAATATTCCAAAATCTAGCAGTGGGGCGACTAAAGAGAAGCAATTTCGTCCACCAGGCCCAACGACTCTGCAGGCAAACCAATGATCTGCCTGCAGGTGATAACCCCTTAAATGCTATTCTAGATCAGATCCCTTGGAAAGATGATTACAAGTTGCCAATACACATCCAGACAGAAGTGAAATGATTATTCGACAAGGAAGAACAAAACTGTGTGCAATGTAAAACAGCCACCTGGCTCTACTTGATGACGAATACCCACATAATCTTTGGGTTCGTGTCAGCACAAAGCCCTAGCAGAAATGGAGGAGCAGGAGTGTATATTGAGCATCCAAATAATACCAGGTATATGGCCAAAATATCTACAGGAAAGCACTGTCACAACTATGATGCAGAAGTTCAAGCCGTCAAAATAGCAACAGAAACTGTTATATAAACGTCATATTTCACAACTCGTATTTCTGACAGATGCGAGCGGGGCTTCAGGCACTCTGATCTGGAAAACTACCTGGTATACGAACACTACTCTCCAAACTAGGCAGCCAGTGTAAGGTAACTATGCAATGGATACCATCCCACAGAAGAGTTCCTGGAAATGAAAGAGCTGATAAACTAGCTAAGAAGGAGCAAACGAAGAACAACCTGGCGTACCAGTCTCTTATCAACAAAAGACGAGAATAATTAAATCTATCAGAAATCCACCAAAACCGGCACAAGACGATTACCATTTTATGGACAGACCAGAGCAAGTTATTATTCTACCCCTTAGAACAGGTCACAGTCGACTTCGCAGCCACATGTACAAACAATTTAAAATCTACAAATCAGCCATGTTCTCTAAGACTATCCCAAATACAACATATCAAAGCAAAACTTTTGGCCAAGAGAAACATCGGCCAAACTGTACGAGTCGAAAGACAGTAAAGTTCATACTAGAGAAAACATTGCAGAAATAGATAACTTATTTCAAGCGAACAAAAGAAGAAGAAGTTTGAAATCGAACTCGTCCAGGGTTTAAGTATTCTGTATATGTTAAATAGGGGCATAAAAATTGTAGAAATGTTTAGTTGAGCTTGCTCAAAGAAGTTGGGAAACACTGGTCTAAGCTGAATGCAGTATGTGCATTTTGATGGCATTGGTTTTCCAGGTAAACTTTTCTTTAATCAGGTATTATTTAAACATCCAGGTGTCCGGTTCACTAGCTCAGTTGGTTAAACTTTACTGCGACCAGGCAACAAACTCCTTGTGGTCCAGGTTCACGTCTGGGCGTAGGCAGAAAGTCCTATTTCTCCCAGATTTATGGTATCTATCATGGAATCAAGACCAAAGGGTTGCGATATCCATGGTACTGAGCCAAAGGGTTAACAACTGATGGTTTCTGAATATTTAAAAAAAAAAAAGCAAAATCTCCTGCTGTGCACCAGCTTGATATGTAGCTTGATATGTTTTCTTCTTCAATTTGTATTTGTAATTAACCTTATGTCTCGCTGTGCTTAGAGTTTCCCTTCGTTCCAAAGATATTCCTGTCTGTTTTCCTCTTTGAGGCTGGTATAGGAAGGTTTGATACCACAGAAGTTTGATGTGTCAGTCAGACAGGATCATATCCCAGAAATATTGTGAAACCTCCTTAGATAGTTTTAGTGAGGGCACTTTACAACCACAGAGGAGAGAGAAGCATTTATGGATGTGTCCCAAGTATAATGTCAGTATTGTGAACTTAATCATAAAACGAAGCAACGGCCTCTAGTCTTCTAGCCGTCAACAACACAAAATCTTTGCATGCGGTTAAAGGTATTTCTATTTAACTATTGCTTTTAACTTTTTGATACTCTTATTGTATAGATTATACAAACCTTTAAGGCGGTGGCTTTCAACCTTCCTAATGCAGCGATTCTTTAATAACGTCCTTATTTTGTGGCGCCCCACCCCCAACCGTACAATTATTTTCATTGCTGCTTCGTAACTTCACCCATTTGTGATGGTCTTTGGCGAGCCCTGTGAAAAGGTCGTTCGACCCAAAAAAAGGGTCATGACCCATTGGTTGAGAACCGCTGCTCTAGGGGAAAAATGCAAAGAGAAGACAATATTTACCTGGATGGCTTGCATGAAACAGCATTGACCTGATCTGGGATTCTAGTAATAGTGTGAGATGACTGACCGTAACTGCCTAGGTTTATTGGCAGGCACATGATGGTGATGATACATAATACACAACTTTATTACTGATAATAACTGTTTGAGCTCACTGTTATATCCTGTATTTCTGTGAACTTTCAAATACTTTTTTAATAGGCCCCGTCCATCAGCAGCAAAAGTCAGGGAAATGAGGTGGATGATGGAGATATGGACCCCACCAAAATGATGTTTGACTGGGGACTGGGCGCAGATACTTACAACCAGGAACAGGTTGATGGTATGTAGCCAGTTGCCTCCTTTCATTAAAGTACCGTAGGTAGATTTGTTATTGCTACAGTTAGATTACAAGCAAGTAGCTGGTCAATTAAAATACCCTTCGGTAAATCTGCATCCACTTGTTGTTGTTGTTGACACACGAGGCATTCACAAGTGATCTTCACTATTGTTGGTCCGCTTCTTTTATTCACACTGTATCTCATGTCGGCTAACACTGCTTGTTTACCTGCCTGCCGCCTTTTCTAGGTCTCTCTAGGTTGTTCACTTAAACTTCTCCATCTACCAGATAGCTGTCCTTGTTAAAATGTCATGAGACATTCTGCTGACATATCCAAGACCTTTCCATCCTCTTACTGTAATAATGTTGTTTGTTTCCCTTCTTGATCATTCATTTGTGGCAAAAACATTTTGTGCAGATTTCATCTTGAGAATTTTATTTTAAAAACTCTAAAGTTTGTATGTGATACCCACTGTCAATTTCCAGCACTCACTGTTGCATAGTAATATTCTCAAGATGTTGCTGTTGTATTTTCTAAGCTTTGTCTTCAGACTTAAGTTCCTTTCTTTTATATGTAAGCAGGAAATATCAAGACCAGACTGCTAAAAAAAAAAAAAAACACGAAAACACTGATTAATCTTTGCTTCAGAGTGAGAAATTACTTAAGGACCGTAGACTGTTAAATTGACAGGGCTACATTTGCATGTTTGTCCCACAGACATCAACCAGCAGCTGAACCAGACACGCTCCCAGCGTGTGCGTGCGGCCATGTTCCCAGAGACAATGCCAGAAGGGGTTCAGATCCCGTCAACACAGATCCAGCCGGACCAGCCTACTGCTGTCCAGAGACTGAGTGAGCCCTCGCAGATGCTGAAACATGCTGTGGTCAACTTGATCAATTACCAGGTAACAACTGGAGATGCTGTTATTGGTAATCTACTCACTTGCTGCAGTGGCATTATGATTCTTGCATTCATTTGCTAAAACCAGGTTAGGTCCTCAACAGGGCCATTTTCTACCCCATGGGGATTCTGAGGGCCCCATTTTTTTAGGGAGGACAGATCAGACCAACTGGCCCTAACAGTGATCTCACAGGAGGGGACTAAACTGAGGTGTTTCGTTAAACATCGGAGTGCATCTGTCTGAGTCGAGGAACTGGCAGTCTGCTTACAAATAAACCAAATCTGTAAAACAGGTATGCACACAGAACTTCTGGAACAGACCAAAGTTCAGAAGTGGACAACCAGAACTTTCCACCTGTGATCACACTGGTGGATACTAACCAGAGAAGAGGAGTGTTTGACCTGATCACAGTGGCTTTGAGGTTGACCTTGCCTCACATACTCCAAGATTCTTCTACGTGCTTACAAACTCTTGGCATAAAGTTGTTCATCCAACTCCACTGGTATTTTCCAGGAATGTTGTGTGAGCATCCATTTTACGAATGTGGTGTAATTTGTATGCAGACTCAACTCTCAGACAGACAAGCTGTGACTTTGAAGGAAATATTGATCCTGTCTACATGGGCTGAGCTCACGGGTGGGAACCTGCCTCTAGGAGAGGTATGGATAGGTCTTGGCCAGTTTCAATCCTAGTGTTTTTACACCACTGTATGGGTTACAGCACCTCTGCCTCTCCGTCTAAGCTCGAATGGAAATTACCTGTTAGGTGAAAATGGTGAGTAAAGAAACTGGCCACCACCCACTTCCTGATGCATGGTCTAGAATATGTGAAGGTTTGACGCTTCACACCCAAGCGGCAGTGTCTGCCATGTGACTGTTGGCGCATTTCCATCTTTACAGATGTGATGCTACAGGGCGGTATGGTAATCATGGTGCAGGGTGGTGTTGAGTGTGAGCTCACGTTCAGAAGCATCTTCTACAAACAATGCATGAGATTTCAGGACCATTGTTGCCATCGCATGTACCTGACATGTCTCTTCAGACATTGGGCTCTTGACCTGTCTGCAACACTTTTCTCTTATATCCTTATTGCCTTTCTGATTTCCCCCTCCATTAAAAATGGTCCTCGCTATCTTGTTCCTGTAAGTAGGTAAAGTAAGTAAAGATCCCTTTCCATGCCTTTAGGCGTATCGGACATAATGGAAATAGCGCCCATATTTGTACATCAGCACTTGGTGGGTAATGTGGTCAGCATTACGCCGGCTGTCTTTACTTTCCTAGGACAGCCTATCCTGGTACCCATTTTAGGCTGGGTTGACCTGCGACGTCCCATACCATGATAAAAATCCACGCAGCCAGCAGTGGATTTCGATCCTGGTACTCTGAATTACGAGTCGGACTCGCAACGCCTAAGCCACGGACGCCGCTATCTTGTTCCTGTGAATCCACCTTAGTACCTGTATCATTCATGTCCCATAATAGAGGCCGACCTAATTTTTTTTCCCGTGTCATTCACCATAGAGGATGTCCTTAGGGAATGTATCATACTCTGACTGTGTCCTAGCTGACTGAGTATCGAGAAAGCTGTTGAGCTGTGAGGATGCTGTTTAATTTTATGAATGTTTTATTTGCTAATTGATTTACCAGGCCTGTGTACATCTGATATCAATGTTTAGTAAGTGTATATTAAATGTAGAGCTATATTGGCATAATGATTAGTACTCTTCACATGCCTGCTGAGACAGTGGTCCACATTCAATCCCCATGGAAAAGCAGAAATATTCCTGACCAGTATGAAGTGTGGTTTTGGGATTGATTTAATTTTTAAAAGAAAAAAAGGGTCAGTCCCAAAAACTTTATGGAATGTTCAGGGGATATGTCCCTCCAACTCCTGTATTTTGGCCTAGAATGTGTGAAATCTAGCCACAGTCTGCATTTGGATGTAAAAAAAAAATTTGTGGGAGGAGAAACAAACGAGTTGCTGCATTAAATGTTGAATTGATCTGCAATTATTTTATAATGAATAACCAAGAGATGAAAGAAGCTGAATTCTGAATGTTGTCTGTAGGATGATGCTGACCTGGCTACACGAGCCATCCCTGAGCTGATCAAGCTGCTGAATGACGAGGACCAAGTGGTGGTTTACCAGGCTGCCATGATGGTCCATCAGTTATCCAAGAAAGAAGCCAGTCGACACGCCATCATGAACTCACCCCAGATGGTGACTGCCCTCATCCGAGCTATGGCCAACACTGAAGACATAGAGACCACACGGTGTGCTGCGGGAACCCTGCACAATCTGTCCCACCACAGACAGGGTTTGTTGGCCATCTTCAAGTCCGGAGGCATTCCAGCTTTGGTTAAACTCTTGAGGTTTGTATCTGAATGCAGCCTCCATAACTCTTTCGGCACTAAACAGCTCACTGTGTATTTTGTTTAGCTTATAATAAATAACTGCAGATGTACAAATAGATCATTGTGGTCTGGAGCATATGTTTTGGTGGGGCGTGACTGGGGGGATCTGTCCAACACTATACTTGGAGGAAAGGCAAGAGAGACATTTAATCCTTTTCTTTTCTGACTGCTGAAGATCAGGAGAGAGCATTTATGGGAATGTCCAGAAAAGTTATGAAGTTGATTCTTAACTCATTCTTATAACATCCACTGTTCTCAATTCGCGTGCCCCCATCCGTCACCTTTTTATGACATTTTTGTGGGGGGAGTCTGTCCTTGTTTTCCTCAAAATGGGGTCATGAAACCCCACTGGAGGCACACAAAACTGGGACAGTGAAAGTCTTCAAGTAGACAAGCAACCACCTGGATTTACAGCCAGTGACTGCTAAGACTCTTTCCCATTGCAACATACGCCTGTGAGACCTGGACACTTACTAAACAAGCGGAACAGCGCATAAATGCATTTGAATATAAATGTTACAGACAGGTTCTAAGAATATCTTGGGTAAAGAAAAGAACAAATGCATCCATACTTCAAGAGCTGAATATTGAAGAGGGTTGGCTAGTAAAGACAATAAAACAAAGAAAATTGAAATATTTTGGTCACTTGAAACATCATAGAAGTCTAGAGAGAACAATAATGGAGGGGTATATGCCTGGAAAGAGAGGAAGAGTAAGGCCAAGGAGAAGATGGGTGCAGGATGTGGCAGATGATCTCCAGATGGGTGTATCAGACGCAGGACATCTTGCTCAGGATAGGAAGGTTTTCCGGAGGTTTGTTATGGCAGCGAGGTTCCGCGAGGGACATGCTACTGAATGAATGACTGCTAAGAGATATATAGCTTGTGGTAGGCCTGCTGCTGCGCCCCTACTGTAATGATAGTCATATAGTAAAAAGGAGCTCGAAATTTTTGGCTGAAATCAGCCGATCACAGCTTATGTGAGCTAAGAGTAAGAGTCCTTGAAAGTCCTAAACATTTATTTAGTAGAAACCTGGGTGTTTTCATACAATAACTTGATTCAACAATTTTTTCATTAATATTTTCAATTTCCCCCATTTCACTTGTTGGCATATAGTTCTCCACTGGAGTCTGTACTTTTCTATGCGATCACCACCCTGCACAACCTGCTGCTCCACCAAGAAGGTTCCAAAATGGCTGTCCGTCTGGCTGGAGGGTTACAGAAGATGGTTGCCCTTCTCCACCACAACAACAACGTTAAGTTTCTGGCCATAACAACTGACTGTCTCCAGATTCTGGCTTATGGCAATCAGGAGAGCAAGGTACATTTTTATTTTGATGGATTTCTTCTGTCTCTTCTCCTGCTTCTTTTTCTTTGGCTTTTCTTTTTTTATTTTATTCAATTCTACTAAGTAGCGTGTTGGAATTTTTGTGTAATTTTATGTGCAGTCAGGAAGGCGAACCCGGGCATTAGATGCCTGCAGAAGTCAGCTGTGTCGGCTAAAAGGGGCAAATGTCGCCGTCATGTTGTAAACGGGCAGAGCGCATTTACATCTTCGAATGAACACATAGGAAGAAAAAGTTTCCAAAGATTAAGCATTCTGTGCTCTGCAGTTCTGCCCTTCCTCTCATCAAGTATCTTGTTTTGGTTATGAATTACCTAGAAGACTTTAACTATTTAGGTCAGGTGCATTGGAATTACAAGCTTTTTGAGCTCTAACATTGGCTTGAGGTTATTGTTTCTCCAGACCCATGCTAAAGTCATCTCTGCAGGGATGTCCTTTGCAGTCGCAGAAACTGGCAGGATTTGTGAAACTGATTATAAAATTTCACATATTTGGGAAGATACATTAGGAACTGGGTCATACTTCGGCACAGTGCATATGGACTGAGTGCTTTTGTGTCCTTTGTGATTACTTTCTAGACTTAGTGCCCTAAAGGACACCAGTTCTTTTTCTTCTTAGCGTTCACCAGTTGTAAAATCCAGCATAAAGTTGCAGTTGGTTATCCATTGCACGTCTTTGGTTACCAGTTAAGTTAAAACTTTAAATAACGAGTAAATAACAGCTACATATGATATTAAAATAAACATAGTATGATTCTTCTTATTCTTGTCTCTACTCCCGAAATGCCTCATAGCGTCAGGGCAGGAAGAGATCTCTGAAACATGCCCTTCTGTTTGCTTCATATATACTATGCAGTATCTTTAAGGTCCTGGATACAGATCTTAATTTCCTGGACAGGCCTTAGGCATGCAACCATGAAGTCCATTGCATATGACCATCAACTGTGGAGGGAGCTGATCAGATGGTTAACAGCAACTGATGACCCAACAGCATACAGTGTTATGGGACGATGATGATGATGATGAAATATATCCTGTATCCTACTCATCTATTGTAGTGTGGAAAAGTCAATTGTTGAGTAGGCGAGTAAATGGGTAAATAGAGACGTTTGCTTAAACATAAGAAAGGGTATGTTTTGTTTGGCCTCATGTGTTTTTTTTTTAAATGTCCCTGAACAGCTGATTATACTAGCCAGTGGTGGTCCCGGAGAGCTGGTGCGGATCATGAAGTCATACACCTACGAGAAGCTGCTGTGGACTACCTCCAGGGTTCTCAAGGTTCTCTCTGTCTGCCCCAGCAATAAGCCTGCCATTGTGGAAGCTGGTCAGTACATCGTGTGTGTTTGAGGGCGGAGGGTTTGTGTTTAAACTGATCGGTATACCGCGTGCTTGTGTATGTGAGGGGGAGAGAGAGAGATACACACAGAGAGCCGAGGATTTATCTGGTCAGTATATCACTATGTTTTTTTTATCAAGGGTTTATGTGGAAGCTTTATTATATCAGGTGTGTGTGTCTATCTTGGGGGCTAGGGGAGGGTCTCAAACTCTCATGTTATCTTTGTGGCAGTGAAGTTGTATCCTTAAGCTTAGCATTGCCATATACTACTTAACTGTAGTCTTTTATTAAGTTCCTCTTTTACCCATATCTCCACCGCTTTTTTCTACTTATAGCCCACCACATTCTCTGTCATGTGATGTTAGAATTATATAAAGTAACATCTTGTCATACTTAACATTTTACCAAATGCTGATTTCCAGGTGGCATGCAAGCTTTGGCCATTCATCTGGGACACCAGAGCCAGCGTCTGGTGCAGAACTGTCTGTGGTCTCTGAGGAATTTGTCTGATGCAGCTACCAAGATGGTGAGAAGGTTTCTCTCTATATGATATGGTATCGTTAAGAGAAGAAAGAAACTGAAAAATGTGCCCGCTGGAAAGATATGTGGAAAGAGATACGGAGGAAGACAACACGAGAAGTTACATGGCAGCTTTTTATCATGTTATGGAGAGCTATCAGCTTATGAACTGACACTCAGTGTTGGAGATCACACGTTGGGTAGAGACACTTTTGCTACGCTGGTCGGCAAGTCATTTATGATAGCTACAAATCGTTATGTTATAGGAATATTGTTTTGAAGCTGTCTTTGCCTTGTCTCTATACATAATCCTTGTCGTCTGTTTTACAAATGGAGGACAGTACGAAAATATGTGCTGTATAAAAACCCAGTGTTAAACTATCCTTGGCTTTAGAAGGGATAGATTTCAAAGCCAGGTGTCTTGATCAATTTATATATATAAATATATATCCTGTATAGCAGTCATAAATCAAAACTAAAAATTTGGTGCGTTAGATCAATAATTTCGCTGGAAATGCTAATTTAAAGCCAAATTATTTGGAAATGCTAAATCATGAAGCCAGATCATTTGGAAATATTAGATTATGTAGAGCTGATTATTTCAGAATTATTATATCATAAAGTCAAAGACATAGAGATAGTTTACAGGTAAATGAAAACTTTTCACTTGAAGATTAGCTGACTTTGTGTGTTTAGGTGGGTGCATGCGAATGGGGGAAGGGGATGGGGCACACACACACACAATTTTTGTTTGTCCCCTTCACAAATTATATCAATAAAACTAAGCTGTCCTGTTTTATGTATGTCAGTGAAATTGAACTCTCTAGTTTTATGTGTGTCAGTGAAATTGAACTCTCTAGTTTTATGTGTGTCAGTGAAATTGAACTCTCTAGTTTTATGTATGTCAGTGAAATTAAACTCTCTAGTTTTATGTGTGTCAGTGAAATTGAACTCTCTAGTTTTATGTGTGTCAGTGAAATTGAACTCTCTAGTTTTATGCTTTAAAAAAGTGATCATGTGAGACATTTGACCACCATGGTAATCACATGGCTGACCTTAAATGGACAGTGGATGAACAGACTTGACAATGAGATTTTATATTTCAGCGAAATTTGTGTACTTCATTATATGTTGATTTAACTGCAGTAATGGGTACAGGTAAATGTGCCAGGCAAAAAATTGTGCAGTGTATTATTTATTGTCCTTATTTAAATATGTACTTTTACATTGTAATCAAACTACAATCTTTCACCAGGACCAACTGGACAGCCTCCTTCACATGCTGATCCAGCTGCTGGCCAGCACTGACATCAACGTGGTCACCTGTGCCGCGGGCATACTTTCCAACCTGACCTGCAACAACCAGAGGAACAAGGTGATGGTCTGCCAGCTGGGAGGCATCGAAGCCCTGGTCCGCACAATCATGCAGGCTGGAGACAGAGAGGACATCACTGAACCTGCTGTAAGTCAGATGTACTCTTCTTCTGCTACTACCTTTTGTCCTCTGTGGAGCTTAAGGTTTAACTCAACTCATGCCGTGGCTTTTAAAGGAATTGGGATAATCTTCTTCTTTTTTGTTCACCGGCTGTAAGCTCCAGTAGAAAGTCCTGTTGTTCGTCCATTTGGACTTTCGCTTTGTTCCAGGCCTGAATTTTGTGTACGTTCGTTTTACTGACTTATTTGTGTGCAGTGTTTCTTGATGCTCGAGCTTGATGCACTTTGACTTCGAATCACTTAATATAATCAGAAATTATCCTGTTGTGCACTGTACAGCTTGAAGTTGATCCTCCTGTGTTCTGTCCTGTCCTGGGCAAACGTTTTGATATTGATTGTGCAGTCAACGTTTGTGGTATGACATGTACTAGTTATTTTTTTCTTATAACAAATTGTAAATGTTAAATCTGTTTACTTCACTCATTCTTTGTTTTAATGTTGACACAGGTTCGGTTTTCTATGAATGTTGCTATAACTGCGAGCTCATCAACACACTCAAATAGCTTTGTGTTGTTGTTTGTCATTATGGGCTAGATTTACTCTGTCACTAGTAAAACTTTTCATCCTCATTTTATCCTACTGCTCACCCAGAGAGGAATTGTCATTTTCTGTCGGCCTCTTGCCTTATAGCCTCCTGTTCTTATGTAGTGCACTCTGGCTGATGGCTGGTTTTGTTCCAAATCATTTGATTTTTTTGATGATCGGTTAAATCATTTAGCGGTACTGTGCCTACTGTTGTTCTTCATTGGTGACATTGTCTCTTCTTGTGAAGCTGTGCTAGTTCCCACAACTCATTATGAAGCTGTGCAAAGGCCCACAAAACTAACAGGGAAAGCAAATTGGGTAGCAGATGTTTGAAGAAGTCAGTTGTCTGTCAAAAAGGTGCAAATATCACAGCAGTGCTTCAAAAAAGCACAGTGCAGTTAACAACAGATGAAAGATGTTTAAACAGTATATATTGAGATGCTGTTACACATTACTGTAGGAAAATCATGTTACTGGTCATGGAAATAAAGCAGTCGAAATCTGCAAAAAAAAATGTTGCTCTGGTGTTGAAAATGTTCTCAGCAGTGGGGGGAAAAAATATGCGCGCACACACACGTATATATTAATCGTTGAACATCATTTCCAGGTGTGTGCCTTACGTCACCTGACCTCCCGCCACCCAGAAGCTGAAATGGCCCAGAATGCCGTGCGCGTGCACTATGGTCTGCCTGTTCTTGTGAAACTGTTGCACCCCCCAAGCAGATGGCCCCTCATCAAAGCTGTTGTTGGACTCATTAGGTAAGCTGATTGATTTTGATTGACGTTCAAGCTCACTGGGACATCACACCGAACAATATCGCAGTGGCTAGCATGCTTGCCTACTTGTTGATTGTGTATTCGAACCCCCCTGGACTTTTTAAGAATAAGAACTGACCATGAATGGTTTCCAGTTTCCTCTGCCTCTTTTCTCCCTGTAGTTTCTCAGGGTAGAGTTTCCTAGATTTATAAGGATGTGTTCTTTCTTACACTCTTTGTGTGAAAAAGTCATTTATAAAAGTCCTTACCTGGCCAAAGAGTGGAGCAGTTTTTTATGTTCACTAGTTTACTATTGCTTTCTGAACAATTTGTTGCTCATACCATTGTCAGAATCAAATTGTCTACAGCTGACTTTGAACTTGGTATATCAGAATTATGAAACTGCATTCAGAGCCACTAAGCCACAGATTTCCATTGAGACATACATTTGTGAAAAGTTTTGATGGAGATTAAGTTAATACTAGTTTGTGTATTTGTTTTAAGTATAGCTGTATGGCAGTGTGTAATGTGTGATTATCTTTTTCTTTGTTCACTGGCTGTAAGCTCCGGTGGAGAGTCCTGGTTCTTCATCCATTTGGATTTTGTGCCAGGGCCTGAGTCGGCATGTACATCTGTTTTACTGGCTTATCTGTGTGCAGTTGGTTGTTCCCTGCCGCTCGTTCAGAGGCACTCCAACTTCAAAAGAAGTCACCAATTAGTTGACTCCTATGACATGCTTTTTTGGGGAGGCACCGGGTCTGTTCTTTTTTTTTTAAGCCCGGCTAGCGTAGTTGGTTAAACCTGACATCGCAGTGACTGGGTGATGAACTCCTTGTGGTCCGGGTTCACTCCCGGGGGTAGGCAGAAAAGCCACATTTCTTCCAGATTTACGGTACCTATCATGGAATCAAAGCCGAAGGGTTGCGATATCCATAGTACAGAGCCAAAGGGATTAAGAACTCATGGTTTCTGGATATTTTAAAAAAAATCCCACAATGGGGCCTTGGAACCCACACAAGGAGGCAATTATGTGTTTATCCTGTGTCAGTTCAGGGGGCCAATTTTACCATGGATGGGGGGGGGGGGGGTGAATAGATTCACTGCGACCTAACAAGTATGATGCGATTAATTAGGGTGTTCCTGTAAGTTGCAAGAGTGCATGTACCAGAGAGGCAAGGAACAAACAGTCTGCACACAAATGTGCCAGATATGTAAAATGGATGTGCATGCAAAATTCCAAAGTCCAGAAGTGGATGAACCATCAGAACTTTCTGCATGAGTTTACAGCTAGTGAACCCTAAGAAGAAGAAGATTATCTTTTTTATTTCATGGCTTTTGTGAGGTGCCAGCTTCTACATTTTTAATTGTTCAATGTTAAATTTGTGCATACTTTGTGGCAAATACAACACTGCACAGTCTCAGCAGAATAAACCTTCCTTTCTGAGATTTTCATGATTGTTTCGCTACAGGCAACAGAGTAGTATGTTTGTATTCTCTTCATTTGCACAGTGTAGGGCAATCATGACTCTTCAATCATCTCATCATCTGATATGTTCACAAAGCTGGGGCTGTTAAATTGAGTGCCTGCCCAGCTGTTTTCACTTTCCACACATCTCTATCTTCCCTCTGCTTTCCCCCCACAGCAGAGGTTAAGTAATATTGATACCCTAGTATAACATTTCTACAGGATTTAAACATCTTTCAGAGTCAATTTGCAGCATTTGAATTTTAGATAAGTCAAAGGAATGACTTTCAAAATGGCCAAACATCTTTTGTCAGCAGTTGAGAATAAAATCTTGTTATTATCTGAACATGACTATTAGTTCATTGTTGCCTCTCTGAGAGCAAAATAAATAGTAGTTTCTTAGAGAAGAGGCAACAAGGCATGGATAAGGTCACTTCACCTTCACACTCTTGCAGGAGAATCTACTTGGGAAAGAACTGTTTTGTTTATAACATCTTCTTATTTCTTGTTTATGGAGAATTTTCATGTGTTTTTGTATAGTTTATTTAGTCTTTGTATACTCATCCCTGCTGTATGGTGCAGAAACATGGACAATGAAACGGCAACTAGAAAATAGAATTTAGACTGGAAATTGTGGAGATACAGAAGAAAAGGTATTTTTTCATGGACACAAAATAATCAAGTACAGAGGCTCTGAGCAGAGTGCGAATCAAAAGAGAGTTACTGAAATAAAATAAAAACAAAAGTGTAAAAGACAGTTGAAATATTTTGAACACATTAAAAGACATAACACTCTTAAAAACCATGCTGTAGAGAAACTGCAAGAGGTAGACAACAATATAAATGGGAGGACAACATCAAGAGATTGACAAACTGCAGTTGAGAGAGTGTACAAGCAAGACAAGAGATAGAGCATGTTGGAGATCCATTGCAGCCGACCTTCATTGTGGAGACGGCACCTGATTGATTGCCTGATTAGTGACTTGTGTACGCTTATATGTGTACCCTATATTTGCTCCAACAGAAATCTGGCCTTGTGTCCAGCAAACCACGCCCCGCTGCGAGAGCATGGGGCTCTGCCTAGGATTGTGCAGTTGCTGATCCGGGCACACCAGGACACTCAGAGAGTAAACCCCCCCCCCCCCCCCCCCCCCCCCCCCCCAAAAAAAAATGTCAGCTTCTTCAAGTTGACAGTATGACAGAAATATGTTTTGTAACTTCTCTTTAAGTCTGAAACCAAAGCCTGTGTTCTTCAGGGTGAGAAGCATATGGCTGAACACTTTGCCATGGAGACCAGTATGGTTTGTTTAGTGTGTCAGTTATAAATAGATGTAGGTGATCAGTAGAAGGATTAGTTAGTTAGTTGGGTTATCCTCATTGCACTCCGGACATGTCCATAGGTGCTCAGATCCTCCCCTTAGTATGAACCTCAACGTCCGATGGCTAATAGTACCAGTTCTATGTTGATTAACAAGTCTTCTGGCGTAGCTGGTGTGCGTCTCGTTTTTTGCTGTGCCGATCTTAATTCCCAAGTCTGCCATTCTGGCGAGTGATGTGGATTCACTGCCACCAAAGTCGTCTATCCTTCCCATTTCTCTTAGGGCATTGATAATATCAGCATGATCCATGGGCTGACCGTCGGTAGTGATAGCGGATCCAGCCAACCTGTCAGCTCTTTCATTTCCATCGACGCCTGCGTGTCCCGGAACAAAAATAAAGGTGACTCCACGGACAGTGGACTTCTGTAATGATTCAAGCCATTGTCTTCGCACTGAACCTGCCTGAACCCTCCGGATCATACTCATTGAATCACTGAGTATACACACGCGGGTGTATTTTTGTGTTTCAAGCCAGGCAAGCGCTTGCGTCACTGCCATCACCTCCATCGTCATGCTGCTGGTTGTCATGGAGAAGGCGCCGTTGGCTTCTTTGACTGTTCTGAGCGTGCTGTAAATGCCCATGCGCTTCTTCTTTGGCGTATAACGGATCCGTCTGTATAGATTATTGCATCTGCTTCGTCTGAATTTTCACCGATGAGAGCGTTGACCTCTGCATTAACAGCAACAGGATTCTCTTCTCTACATCGCCTGTTGAGTGTGACAATACAGGAAAATGTACAAATAAACGCCTGAGGCACAGGTATCCATTCTGCACCAGGTATGATGTCGGTTAGGCTGCATATTTGCCTAATAACATCTTCTGCCCGACCTAGCCACGATTTCCCCCTCTTCAGTCTGTCGCCCTTTTCACTAAAAAGCGCTTGATGCAGTGGGTGTTTCTTATCAGCACATATTTTGAGATATGCCCGAGCCCTCCACATCCTGATCCTTTGGTTCATTGTTGGAAAGTCAAGTAGATACCTCATTGCTCCACAGGATGTGTCTCTAGTACATCCCAAAATAATGCGCATGGCTTCATTTTGCACCTTTTCGAGTCGTTCAATCTGGGTAGCACTGACAGTGAGGATGGCCAGAGCGTATTCAATGGGGGAAAGGACCAGACCGTAGAATAGAAGTATTAGTAGTCTTTGCTCAATGTTAGAAGCAGCCATAATCCTCATTGCAGATAGACCTTTGCGTGCTTTTGTTATCACATGGTCAACGTGTTCCCTGAATGACAAGCTGCGATCGAACCTCACCCCGAGAAACGTCATAACGTTGGTTCTGATCAATACATTATCACGCATTTTCACTTCTGGTAAGTCCGACTTGACAATGTGATTGTTCAAAGAGAACCATGACACTGATGCCTTCGAAGGATTGACATAGGCATTGGAACCATCACACCAGTCGGCAATTCGATCGAGTTCTTTGTGCATAGTGCTGGCGATCTCCTGTCTATCACGCCCTCGTCGATAAATCAAAATGTCATCAGCAAATGACAAAGTCCTCCCCTTTCCATTCAACTGCTGCTTAGTGATCATCACCGTATAAACGTTGAATAAGACTGGTGATAGCGGTGATCCCTGTGGCAAGCCTGGACATATCGTTTGCGGTTCTGAGGACCAGCTACCACATCTTAGTACAATCTTTCTCTGGAACAGGACCGCAGCAATCCAGCGGATCAGAATAGGATTAACTTCTAGTTTAAGCAGTAATTGCATTAAATAATTGTATGGTACTTTATTGTAGGCATCTTCTAAGTCCAACACTGCCGCACATGTCTCTTCTTTAATCTGAAATCCCTCGTACACATCGTAGGCGAAAACTGCAGCATTGAACCATGTCTCTTTATTTAACCTGTACCCTCCAAGTGTTGGTGGGAACTTATCATGTAGTTCCAAGTAGGTGGTCAATCTTTGTGCGACAATTTTTTCCAAAAGTTTGCCAACAGTATTCTGCATCGAGATGATTCTGTAGCCGCAGATCTTCGAGTGGTCTTTATTAGGCTTTGGTAGTGGGAACAAATAACTATGGAGCCATACCTCTTGTATCTGGCCACTCTGGATGCTGATATTGAATTCCTTTGCAACGCTTTTCAAATCAGCATTCGACATCATCAGCATGTCATTGTATCGGATGCCGTCAGGGCCTGGAGCAGTGCTGCGCGATTTCTTGAGGCAAGTTCTTAAGGTGTCTGCAGTGATTGTGAAATCAGTGCCTAGCTCAGTGTTCTCGCACAGCATCGACAGTTTCATCTTAACCCCCATTCTTGTAGCTTCGTCTTTTTGGTCAGTTTGCTCCAAGTAGCGCGCCAGAAGGGTTTTTCCTTTATCAGCATCAGTTCTCTGCCATATCAGGTCTGTACCCTGAAAATCAGGGATACCCCTTGGTCGTGCGGCACCGTGCATGCTCCGTTGAAGGCGCCAGAATGTCACAAGAGATCCCTCGGAGCAAACGCTCTTGCAGAATTCGTTCCATTTCGCTGTCTTAGCTTCCTTCGCAATTAACTTGAAAGCCACTGTCTGCTTGTTGACCTCATCTTTCAGACTGATCAGGCGTTCAGAAAGTGACGGATCAATTTTCCTTGCCTTTTGCCATGCCTTGACAGCTTTCCTTTTTTTCTAGCCACGCCATGTTGACTACTTCATTCCACCATGGTGGCTGGGCCCATCTCTCCCGCCGTCTGCGATCTGCTCTTGTTTTACGTCGTCGGATTTTGCTAATGGCATCTTGCCCTGTACGGTCATATATGAACGCAGGCACATTGATTACATGACCTTTGTTGTTGCTCTTCTCTACCAGGACGACGCAAGGAAAGTGATCACTGTCGTGGTATCCCAGTGTGCTCCACCTGCATCCTGATGCAATGGAGGGAGACACTAGGGCCAGGTCAATTACGCTGTCAGAATCCCCTTGTCGTGTTGCCATTCGGGTAACCTTTCCGTCGTTCAAGCATACTAGATTGGCAGACACTAGGGCATCCTCCAGGTCTTCCCCCTGTTTATTAGTGATTACATTGCCCCACTGGTGTCCTCTGGCGTTGAAATCTCCGCAGTAAAGGACTTTCTTTTCCTCCGTCTGGAGCAAACTCTGCCATTTCGCTGTATCCACCTTTCCATTGCAGGCGTACACATTGACAATCACAAACTGGGCCGGGCCCATCACTCTGACTGCGTGTACTTGTAGGTCGTCATTATTCCACTTAGACATGTCCACCTCAGACACCGGTATGTGGTCACGAACAAGAATGAGCTGTCCGAGGTGCCGTCTATTGTAGAAGGATTGGAAGCCCGCAATTTTAATGATCTCGTCACCGAGGTGTGTTTCCTGTAGGACAACAATGTCGTTGCTGTAGAGGAGCTTCTCAAAAATGGGTCGGCGTTGACTGAACGAAACGCAGTTCCAGTAGAGAACACGAACATACTTTAAACTGAGTCTCTCACATTTCAGCCGCTTCCTGCAGGCGCCACCGTGCTTGCCTGTTCGCGTTCTCCTTGTCCGTCTACGGGTTGTTTTGAATTGGTAAATAGTCGCCATCGGACGTCGAATACACCCTGAGGGAAGTCTAAACTCACGTGCATGTACTCCATTGCACGGTTCAGACCCCATTCCGATGAAACTTTCACATTATACGTGAGCGAAAATAGCTAATTTGCGCCATTCGCCTCAACGGACGAAAAAGCATACCGCCATTGTGGCTGTTTACACCGGAAGAGTAGAAGGATTGTTTTGGGCTTCACCCAGCTTTGCTAATTATATGCTAACATTTCTTTGAGAGAGTATAGATGGCTGGTATATATCATTGGTAATTGGGTATTTAGAAAACCTTAACCAGACTTCAAACTAACCAAACAAGCAGTTGCCGCTATAGCTTACGGGAAAACTTACATGTTTACTTTTGTTGGTACTTATCAATCTCTATTCACTTTGTTTATTTCAATTTGTTTATTTGTAGAGGGCCTCCATAAGCTCAAACGGGCCTCCTCTGACTGGCTACGTGGATGGTGTTCGTATGGAGGAGATTGTGGAGGGAACTGTTGGCACAGTGCACATACTGGCTCGAGAGGCTCACAACCGAGCTGTCATCCGAGGGCTTAACTGCATACCTCTGTTTGTGCAGGTAGTTTTTTTTTTTAAAGTTCGTTTGTTTAAAATGACACCTTGGATAGTTAAAAAAAAAAATTTTCATTTAATCACAACAGTTTGCAGCTAAGAGCTACTTTTCATACATAGACACACATGAGTTTAGTTCTTAATCCTTCTGGCCTGGAAACGGGGGGGGGGGGGGGGGGGGGGGGGGGGCACACCCAGGAGTTCCTGGAAATGTTTGTGTGTGTGTGTGTTTTTTTTTTTTTTTGACAGTTTGCTAATATGCTTTTAAATAAATAATGGAAGGGTTTGATCAGTAAATATGATTGGAGCAGAGAATTTAATAGATTGCCCCGGGCCTTAAAAAATGAATTATACAGGGTCTGATACTGGTACCCCATGACCTGGTCACCATGCGACTATTAAAAGGCAAATTATGAAGTTAAAACGACTTTAAAAATGTTTTGTAATGCAATAAAACCACCCCAGATGATATTTTTAGCCTTACCTGGGCCTCCTTAAGACTGCGCAGGCATAAACAGAACCAATGCAAATCACGACTAGACGGTTTAGCAGCTTTTGTGGGAATTGGTAATGAACAGCATTGCCGAATTATCAGCGTCTCAGAACCATATAGATCCTTCTACTTCCAAACCGGCAAAAGAGGAAGTGAAGAAAGAAATGAAAAGTACATTTTTAATGCCCTGGTAATTAGTAGACTGATATAGTGGCAAAAAAAAAAGCCTCCAGGTTCTTTTGCTGCCCATAAATGTTGGACAGCACCTGCTGGTCATTCTGTTTTATAATGCCAAAATCTGCCATGAGAATTTCCGTCTCTTCGCACCTCTTCAGCAACATCACACATGTGACCACCATTCTTATTCTTATTCACTTCCTATTTCACAAATGCTTCAGGTAGATATAAGGTTCAGCTTCAAGCTCTTCTGACTGCCTCGACCATAGACGTATGCTGTTGTAGAGTTTCTCTGATATCTTTCCATCTGGTTTTTGGTTTACCTCTTGTTCTATGTCTTTTTCCCTTAAGGGTGTATGTCGTGTATGGTACGACGTCACAAGGAATTTTCTGTAAATGGGCAAACCATTTTATTTGCTATCTTTATATGATTTAGAATTAGTTCTGTGCCAACTGTTTCACTTATGGTTGCATTCCTGATTTTTATCTTTTCTAGTCACTCCTTCAGCCCTTGTCAGACCACATTTCCATGGTTATTAATGTTCTTATCTAGTTTGTTTTGAGTGACCTTGTCTGGCACTGGTAGCATAGGTTTTGAGAGAATAGGCTTTGTAATGGATTTGGGGGGGGGGGGGGGGTGTGCTGATTGGGATTGCCATTTCTTCTTATCTAGTTCAGGGAGGGGGGGGGGGGGGTGTAGCTGTACCCATACTTGATTTGGTGACTATCATTGCTTGTATTAAAAGTGTGAATATTGAGTTTGTAAGATGTGTATGAAACTAATTCAGGGGTGAATGTGTGTGGTTATTCTACAGCTTCTGTACTCACCCATTGAGAACATCCAACGTGTGGCAGCGGGTGTGTTGTGTGAGCTGGCAGCTGACAAGGAAGGAGCAGAAATGATTGAGCAGGAAGGTGCTACAGCTCCACTGACTGAGCTCTTGCACTCTAGAAATGAGGGAGTTGGTGAGGATTTGTTTTTATAAGCTTTTATTAAGTTCGGTTTTGTTTGTTCGTTAAATGTATATGTGTATATATATATATATATATGTGTGTGTGTGTATGTCGAGGCCGAGTTGTACCCAAGGATTCATAATAATTCTGTAGAGTCGGAACTCAAGTAGCCTCATCCCTGAGATAGGCTGAATGTATGTTTGGACCAAGGACCTTGTACCTGGACATACGAGAGCCGACATTCAGAACAACCCGATCTCAGAGTAACCGAGGATTTTAGGTAAATAATCCAGAAATAAAGGTACATGACGAAACTGCCATACGACAGTATTTACATGCGCGCGCACACACACACACACACTCACACACACACACACACACACATATATATCTATCTGTGTTTGTGTATGTCAGCTGCACTGAGAAATTGGTGGTTTAAATGCTGCAGAAAAGAAGATGGCGATCATTTGGACACATCCTAAAGAGATTCAAACAGAGCATCACCAAACAGGCTCTGAACTGGGAAACACATTGATTGATAAACCTCTAGTATAAATGAAGGCCTGCAGAAGTCAGATGTATCAGCCGAAAAGCACAAATATTGCAGCCATGTTGTGATGGGCACAGCACATTTACCTTTTTGGCTAAACACAGAAGAAGAAGAAGGATCTGGCCCTTCAGCACACAAACAAAATCACAAATCTGTGAACTGTTTTATCTTTCAAGTAGGTTCTCAATCTCCATTTGGTCTTAATATTGAACATAGTTTCATCTAATGACTTTTAAATTTTTCTTTTATAATTTTACAGTTCTTCCCCTCACCTCAGTTACTTGGCTTCTCAACGTTTTGTTGATCCTAGCTGTTTGGGTCATTTCCTGTCTGTTATTCACCTGTGATTCAATGAGATTGTGTGCTAGTGGATCTTTATGATCCACGAATATCGACAAGCTAAGTTATTATTTGTGGTCGTTCAAATAGTTGTATCATTGTCCATGTTTCTTGTATGGTGGTGAAAGCTTTTCAGCCGCAACGCTTACTTTGTCTCTCAGGATTTTGTTTTATGGGGAAGCTGACTAGTTCTGTTCCTTTTTAGGGATCTAATTTTTCCACGTGTAGGCATGCAATCACGCAGAGACATTGTCCATTTGGCTTATTGTGCTCCCCCACCCCCCACCCCCCCCCTTGTTTGATTATTTGAATAATTTGTTTCTTCTATTTTCTCCCGCCATTGTGTAGCCACTTATGCTGCAGCTGTTCTGTTCCGAATGTCCGAGGACAAGCCACAGGATTACAAAAAACGCCTGTCCCTGGAGCTGACCAGCTCACTGTACCGTGGAGATAACTGGACCGATGTAAGTTTGATTGTGTGCTTCAGGGTCAGTTAGTTCAGTCTTGAGCATCTTGTTGGCAGAGAGCATGTTCTTGAGAATCATAAGGCAGATGAGTAGCAGATAAAACTTGTTGAATATACTATTAGACAATAGTGCAAAAACTACATGTTATAAGAGTATGCAATTTTTCTTCCCCTCAGAGTTAGAATGCTTGTGTGCTGCCTCAGACCAATATTGGATTTGGTTTTAAATCCTGGACGTTCTTTTGCTTGTTGCAGATCTGTTAAGGATAAATGTTTACGATGATAATGACATTTTTTTTTTAAATACAAAAGTGACATGCCCTTTTTTTATGTCAGTGGCAAATCAGGCTTATGTGACCAGACTTATATTTTATAGTCCAGTCGGCATTTGGTGAAGGTTGATGTGGTCAGCACCACACCGGCCTCCTTTACTTCCCAGGACATTGTCTGGGACCCATTTTGATACTTTATTTTTAACATACCCCAAACAAAGGAAATCATGGATCTCCCGAGAATGTCCAATATCCTGGAAACTCGGGGATTTCCTTCGTTTGGGGTGAATTAGAAATAAACTACCCCCAGTATATATATATATATATATATATATATATATATATATATATATATATATATATATATATATATATATATATATATATATATATATATATATATATATATATATATATATATATATATATATATATATATATATATATATATATATATATATTTAAAAAGAAATCTGCCTCTTTGGGGATTTGAATCCACAACTTTCATGCTGGTAGCCAGGCACTACTCTGCCATGTCTCCCATGTACGATAATCTGTATTATTACAGCCTTTGACTGCGAAATTTTAATTTCTGGTTGCTGGGTTTGATCTCAGTGTTCTCAGTTTGTCAGCAGACCGCATAGCGTTGGTTTTGACAGTGGTGTCAAATTCTGACCGTTCAGTAGTAAGCAGTATACTGAACTGAAATTGCCTGGTGAAATAACAAAAAGCTGAAAGATGCTCGAATTAGTTTTGCAACCTCATAAAGGACCCACGACTAACTTTTATCGACCTTTTGCAGCCTCCTGGCTTTGAAGATATGTCGATGCCATTGGAGGACTCTCGGGACCACATGTACAACCCACAAGCTTCTCAAGGCGGCATGTATGGACACGGTGGGCCACACTCAGATATGGGACGGGGACCTACAGGTATATTTCTTCTAGAAACTTCTTATGTACCTAGACAGTTGTTTATATCTTTCATTTCTTTTTATTTGCAAAATCATTAGTGTTTCTTTGATTTCTGTTGACTTTTTCCATATGGATAGCAATTTGTTACACTCACTGTTTGGGAAAGCTTATATTGGGGGGTGAAATCTGCCACATCGACTGTTATATGCTTGTGTAGTATATTGGGAGCCTAATTAAATTGAAAGGGGGGGGGGGGGAGGAGGGGGGCACTACCCCTTAACAAGTATGGCGACTTCTTCATTATTGTTCATCCAAGTGGTGTAAATGCGTTCTGCCTGTTTACACCATAGCTGCGATTTCAGCGCCTCTCACCTGACTTCTTCAGGCATTTATTACCCAGGTACCCTTCTGGGGTAGTTTCATGGAAAACTTGCAGCCTTTTATTTGTGTTGACTTTTAAATCCCCTGATCCATAGGTGTTGTCCCGTGAAGTCCCCTGATCCATAGGTGTTGTCCTGTGAAGTCCCCTGATCCATAGGTGTTGTCCCATGAAGTCACCTGATCCATAGGTGTTGTTGTCCCGTGAAGTCCCCTGGTCCATAGTTGTTGTTCTGTGAAGTCTCCTGCTCCATAAGTTGTCCTGTGAAGTCACCTGGTCCATAGGTGTTGTCCAGTGTTGCCACTTTTCTTTGACAACAAATATCCAAAACGGTGTCAAAAAATATCTAAAAAGATCTGAATCTCCGTGGAAAAGATCCAGAAAAAACATCCAAATTGAAAAAGTCAAAAATTACATAGCTTTTGTTATGACTTACCCTACATAATCATGTCCTCACCTTCACTGATGTCTGCCTCACAAGATCCACAGGATAAACTTAGCTTGGATAATGAAGTTGAAGCTTCAGATCCAAAATGACCCTGCTTTAGCTGTTCAAATTTCTTTATAAGTGGAACAGTAGGCTTATTTCTCTAGTCTCATCATGCTGAATTTTAATGGCACGATAGCATTTAAGAGGTCAAATTTCATCCTGTTTTTTAGGTTAGATTTGATATAATTCCTAGCACTGAAAACTCTTTCTACGTCAGCATTTGAGTGGTAGTATCATGGCAGACATGACACTTTAAAGAGCTTACAGAATGGACTGTTTGATGAGGCATCTTTAAATTGTCTCACTTCACTCCAAAACGCTTTAGTTTCTGTTTTGTTTGTTTCATCACTGTACATTCCATATAGTATTTCAGCTGTGTAGCACTTTTCACTTTGTCTTGTTATTTCAAAGTGTGTCTTCAACTTCAGCTATTGCTTCATAATTCTTTCAACAGCTGGTTAAATTGATAACCATCTAGTTTTGCAATCTGACAGAATTTTCGGTGGTGTGGAACCATCATTCAAGGCTGTATATAATGTATTGTATTGCTGTTGTCTGACAAATGATTTGGAAAACCAGTAAAGTGTTTCAGCAATAAGGTATTCCAAATTCCTTGGTAAATATTTAGATGAAGCATGTGATAATGCTAGCTGCAATGAATGACGCATACATTTTATAAGTATTAACGATGGGTTAGCTTCCTTCAACTTGGCATAAACGCCATTGTTTATACCAACCATCACTGAGGCATTATCCGTACCAATTACAGCCAAATTCTTCAAGCCTAACTGTTTGCTGATTAAAAGGTCTTTCAGTTCCTAAACTATACTTTCTACATCACACTTTTCAAATCGAACTAGTCCAAGATTTTTTACAAATCGATCAAATTGTCACAGTTTGAAATTGCGCAGTGACAAATTAAAAACATTGCGACTGATACTTCAACTTTTGATGATTCATTTATCAGTATAGTTATGAAAACAGATGTCAGCGGTGTAATATCTTTAAATGAAACTGCAGTTTTATGCTTTTATAGTCTCTGCATGGCTCTTTGAGTTTTGTATTTTCGCTTCAATTTCACACTTGCAGTACTTACAACAAGCTTTGGCATATCCAAATTTTTTAATTTTGTCATCATGCAACCACTATTTCCAAATTGTTTGCTCATACTTTACTTTTGGCATGTTGAAAGGTTTTTTCAAAGTGAAAGCCACATAATAAGTGAGCAATTATTTTTTTTAAATCACATGAAAAAGAAACGCAAAGTCAGCACAGTGAGTATACGGTTGAAACAAAGTTAGTATGATTTACGCGCGTTTTTATTAATCAGTACCGGGGCTGTCAGATATTTGTGCCTTGACCCCAGTGAGAGTTCAAAGTTCAAATATTGGCAGTTGTCACAATGTACGTGCCAGACCAAAACAAAAATATTGTAGTAAATATTTTACACAGTAATTGTTAAATTGACAATGAAAGAAAAAAATCTTAAAATATCTAACTCATATGAAAAGAATCTAGAAAAATATTTACGATCTAAACGTCAAAAACAGTATCTAAATGCAATGAAAAAGATCTAAATTTGGATATAAAAGATCCAAAGTGGCAACACTGGTGTTGTCCCGTGAAGTCCCCTGGTCCATAGGTGTTGTCCCGTGAAGTCCCCTGATCCATAGGTGTTGTCCCGTGAAGTCACCTGATCCATAGGTGTTGTCCTGTGAAGTCACCTGATCCATAGGTGTTGTCCCGTGAAGTCCTCTGATCCATAGGTGTTGTCCTGTGAAGTCCCCTGGTCCATAGGTGTTGTCGTGTGAAGTCCCCTGATCCATAGGTGTTGTTCCGTGATGTCCCCTGATCCATAGGTGTTGTCCTGTGAAGTCCCCTGATCCATAGGTGTTGTCCTGTGAAGTTCCCTGGTCCATAGGTGTTGTCCCGTGAAGACCCGTCCAGGGCATTTCCGTTGAAATTGTCGACTCTTGATCCAACCATCCATCCTTTTATGTAAAACAAAACACACAAAAAACAACCATTTTCAGCCTACTGATGAGCAGTATCGGCTATAATTGTATTCTGGTGTCTTTGTGCCAGTTGTGTTGGCTAAGAAATGTTAATAGCACGAAAACTAGTGGCTTGGAGCAGTACTCTAGTACCCAGTGTGGACTGTTGAGGAAGGGGGGGGGGGGCTGCATAAACATGCGTTTGCATACACACATATGCACGCCCATGCGGGAATCCACCTCTGAACTTTTATCTTTTCCCAGAACTTGAGTTGAACGTGCACATTTTACAGATCTGGCTTATTTTGAAAGACGCGCCTTGATTAGTTACTTAATTTGACGTGACCCTTCCCCCCCCCCCTCCCCCCTTTTCTACTAAATCGGGGCCCCACGCAGGAATGTTCTCAATAAAGTCATGAATGTGTTGTGTAAAGCTAAACTAAGCACAGTTGATCTTTCTCAGAATATGCTGCGTGCTGTTGGTCAGGTCACAGCCTTCTATCTTATGTATTGCTTATATATTTCGATACAGCTGTCCTCCCATACCATACCAACACCACCCCCTGGTCTTCCTCTGCCTCTCTTCCCATCTTACTTTCCTATCGTCATGATGTAATCTTTGAGGAGTGTTTAGAAAGTAAATTGTTTCTTTTCAGGCACTGTTCATTCAAATAGGGATTTATGTGTACAAGTATATGTGGATATGTTGTGTAAACATCTGTACTATTTAGCATCATCCCCATAAACTTGTACAGCTTTATGTCATAACAAACTTGTACATCTTTTTGTCAAACGTGAAACAAGTGCATGTATTCCTTTCTGAATGCCCCTCAAGGTCCCCCCTCCCCCTTTTTTTTCCAATGATGTGCCTAAAATAATTGTGCATAGTCTTCTGATGCAAGTTGTCAGCTGTCTTTGTTGAGTTAATGTGTCTTGTGTCTGTCCATGAACTGATGTTTTCATCATCTGTTTGTCTATCTTCCTGAGTTCATTTCTGTCTTACCTGTCTGTGATGTGATGTTTTCATTATCTTTCTGTCTCTTGAGTTAATTTCTCTTTTCTGTCTGTGATGTTCTCATAATCTCGCTGTTTCTTTCTTGAGTTCATTTCTGTCTTACCTGTCTGTGATGTGATGTTCTCATCATCTCGCTGTCTCTTTCTTGAGTTAATTTCTGTCTTACCTGTCTGTGATGTTCTCATCATCTCGCTGTCTCTTTCTTGAGTTAATTTCTGTCTTTTCTGTCTGTGATGTTCTCATCATCTCGCTGTCTCTTTCTTGAGTTAATTTATGTCTTACCTGTCTGTGATGTTCTCATCATCTCACTGTCTCTTTCTTGAGTTAATTTATGTCTTACCTGTCTGTGATGTTTTCGTCATCTCACTGTCTCTTTCTTGAGTTAATTTATGTCTTACCTGTCTGTGATGTTCTCATCATCTCACTGTCTCTTTCTTGAGTTAATTTATGTCTTACCTGTCTGTGATGTTCTCATCATCTCGCTGTCTCTTTTTTGAGTTAATTTCTGTCTTTTCTGTCTGTGATGTTCTCATCATCTCGCTGTCTCTTTCTTGAGTTAATTTATGTCTTACCTGTCTGTGATGTTCTCATCATCTCGCTGTCTCTTTTTTGAGTTAATTTCTGTCTTTTCTGTCTGTGATGTTCTCATCATCTCACTGTCTCTTTCTTGAGTTAATTTCTGTCTTACCTGTCTGTGATGTTCTCATCATCTCACTGTCTCTTTCTTGAGTTAATTTATGTCTTACCTGTCTGTGATGTTCTCATCATCTCACTGTCTCTTTCTTGAGTTAATTTATGTCTTACCTGTCTGTGATGTTCTCATCATCTCGCTGTCTCTTTTTTGAGTTAATTTATGTCTTACCTGTCTGTGATGTTCTCATCATCTCACTGTCTCTTTCTTGAGTTAATTTATGTCTTACCTGTCTGTGATGTTCTCATCATCTCACTGTCTCTTTCTTGAGTTAATTTATGTCTTACCTGTCTGTGATGTTCTCATCATCTCGCTGTCTCTTTCTTGAGTTAATTTATGTCTTACCTGTCTGTGATGTTCTCATCATCTCGCTGTCTCTTTTTTGAGTTAATTTCTGTCTTTTCTGTCTGTGATGTTCTCATCATCTCGCTGTCTCTTTCTTGAGTTAATTTCTGTCTTTTCTGCCTGTGATGTTCTCGTCATCTCGCTGTCTCTTTCTTGAGTTAATTTCTGTCTTTTCTGCCTGTGATGTTCTCGTCATCTCGCTCTGTCTTTACTACTGCCTATACTTACCAACTTTGGTAGGGTAGGACAGGAATTCTTGAGCCTGAGGATTGAAGGCTGCATAGCTAGTACAGTCGCCACGAACTGTGCAGATTGGGATTCATATCTTCAACGCACACAAACAAAATTACCATCCATTTGAGCACCAAGCACTCTGACACAACATGGCCAGTCGCTGCTTGTTCTAATTTCATTCTTTCAAAATAGAACCTCATATCTGCAGTTTTCACATAATTTCTCATTCAACTGCCATCTGGCCATGGTTCACATCCATACGTCAGGATTGGCGCTATATATATATATATATATATATATATATATATATATATATATATATGTGTGTGTGTGTGTGTCTAATAATAGTGTATTGTAATTTCCTACTGTAGGTTATGAGCAAGTTCCAATTGACTCCATGCAAGGCTTGGATATAGGCAGCCAACATGGCAGTGCTTACAGCCCCATGGAAAACCTGCCCGACCTAGCCAACCCTGGCGAGATCAACTTTGACAACTTGGACCCGGCACTAGGCACTCACCCTGATGATAATCCCAACCTGTGGTACGACACCGACGTGTAAACGCAGGCCAGCCAGCCAGCAGCAAGACAAGACTGACCACTGTGCTTCTTTTGTCAACAACATCGTGTATGGTACATGACAGCTGAATTTGTTGTGTGTTTTAACTTAGCTGTTTTCGGAAGACAACAGTGTACATGTGTCAGCAGTAAACTGTGGACTTAACGCACTGATAGCGGTGGGGATCACAATAGGGCTGCAAATTCAGATTCAATTTAGCCGGAGGGGGAGATTTTCCCAACTGAAAGTTTATGAATATCATGTGGTTCCTTTTTTTTTTACCCCTGTTACCTGAATTAGTGTTTTCTGTTTTTTTCAAGTTGTAAGCAATTAAAATTATTTCACTAAACAAAAAATTGTCTAGAAAAATTTTTTAATCAACGCAGCTGCAGTAAGAATCAGTCTAAAACATAGAAGAACTCTATATTTAAACATAAAACATTTTAAACTATTAAAAACTTTGTGACAACTGACATGATTGATGGAAAATCTTTTTTCTCTATTCACTGGTTAAAAGGGCGGCTAAACATTGTGTTGCGATATCCTCACCTTTTGACCCAATACATGATTTCAGCAGATCCTTAATTATTCATTTTCTACAACATGCTGTTTAGAGGGCAATGGGTCGGTCATCCCTCAGTGAATGTTTTTTTGTGCTGTGAGAGATATTATTAAATGCACTGTTGTTATCGTCAGAATGTCAGGTGCGTTAGATCGACAGTTTACTGTGACTTTTATTTTGTAAAGTACATATGAAACTTGATTTTATTTATACAATATTTTTGATTTGTTGGTGTTGTTGCTTCATTATCACTTAAAAAGAACAAATGTGATCGACTTCTTTAAGTTGTTGCTTGGAATTATTGACACATAAATCAAGGTGGCGGAAATATGCTGCAGCATTTAACATTTTCTATATTAAATGTCACAGAATCGGTTGTTGATGGCCATTGGCAACGATTTGTTTTAACTGGTGTGTTTACAAAGCAAAATATATTCACAATCTAGATGTGACATAAGAAAAACATGAAATCTGTTTTTAATTAGCCCTTGTCTTATGGAGCTAGTACAGTGCTATACACACTTTGTACTGTTTTATTGTATGCATTTACTTTGTGCTGTTAGTTCAGTATATGTAAGCATTTTTAGGAGCAGCCAAATTTGGCCTCTGTATGAATAGAAACACGTACTTTAAATTTAGTTTCAAAGTCCATAATATTTTCTTTACCTTTGTGTCAGGTGGATAGCAATTTTAAATCTAGTGTCGGATAGATGAATAAGACTGGAATGTCAGTGGATACATTAGTCTTTAGCAGAGTATCATCAAATGGATGGATAACACTTCCAAGTTGGCTATTGTATTGTATAAGATAATATATTGCAGTCTATAATATGTGGGCTTATTTATCTGGGATTTTTAAAGGCATTATTTACCACAAGATTGCAACAGGGATGGTGACACAAGTTGTTAAACAGACAGTATGATAAAAGACATAATTCTAGCACAATAATTGATATAACAGTGCCAGAATTTTCAGCTACATGATAGTAACACAATAATTGATATAACAGTGCCAGAATTTTGAGTAGTATGGTGGTAGAATTTTGAAAGCTCTCTACGCTGTTTAGTAGGTACTTCAGAAGAAAAAAAAACTTATCTCAAAGTGTCTAACAGTATCGTCTGTAATAAATTAGGTTCATGAATTGTGCGAACAAACATATTTTAATTTCAACTTAGATGATGGTGTCAGTTAATGAAGTAAAATTCTGTTGTTTGTGTGTGTGTAAATAAATGCAGCTAAGATTTCTCATCTTGAATTGTTGCTTGAATGAGGAGGAGTCAGTTGGAGGTCCCACAGATCCAGGTCTAATGTTAAAAGCATTTGGACATCTCATTATTGTTCCATAGGTGTTGATGACAGATCTTCACTAATCAAAACCATACGTATTTGTTTTTAAATCTGTGTTTCCTTCTTTTTAAAGAAAACAAATATTGGTTCAGTTACAAACCGTTTTCCCCCGCTAGTGAGGTAATGAAAATACAAATCTTTTGTGTCATTTGTGTACTTAATTTTGTTTTTTGTCGTTATTCCCCAGACTTTTAGATTCACAAAGTTTTCATGAGGTGGATGTGAGGTAATCTCTCTTCGAGGAAAGACACTTCTAATGATTCAGTATCGTAACCCTGAACTGTCAGTTTACAGAAAATAATTCCCCTCTCATGCATTTATCTATTGGCGTGGTGCATTGTATTATCTGGATGGCTGAGTTGTTAAAGGTGCACCACTTTTGGGTGTTCAGTCTCTGCATAAAATAGTTAATAACTCCATAAGGAGATCAGATAGTTAATTGTGGTATTGTATAGTTCCGACTCCATGATCAGAGCTATTCACTGCTTGATGAGATCAGATAAACAGGTATGAATCATAGACAGTGAGTAAATTAGTGAAAACTTATTTGAAAGCTGCTGAGATGTGGTTTCATAGACGAATGATGAGAATACCCTGGACAGATACAAATAATGATGATGTCTTAAAAGAGATTGGCTCATGAGGAGAACTGACTGCACACATCAGAGACAGTCTACAGTCTTTGGTCATGTGATGAGAAGACTCAATGAAGTACATCATGAAAGGAGGAGAGGCAGAGGGAGACAGAAAAATTCTGACATCATGACATGGAAGATAATGTGTCAGATTTGATTGAAAGTACCTGAGACAAGGTTGTGGATAGACATGACAACCAATGCCACAGACTCTTAGATGGAAAAAGAAAACTCTTTGATGAGATAAGAGTAAAGAAATTAGATCAACTCTACAGGATAAAATAGTTAACTCTGATCAGATAGTAACTAAATGTGTGTGTTTTGTTGTTTGCATGTAGACAGTTTATTTCGTTTGCTCTCATTTTACAACCCCCCATCTTTCTTATGTATCAAGTTCAATGACACAAAAGAACATAATTCACACACAATTTAGTTTGATATTGTCACCGGCATGCCATCATATCCCATTACAGAAACCATTTGACATATTGTGTGGTTATTGTGCTGTAAACATGTTTATGATTAGTTTTAAATATGTGTTGTGCATTTTTTAATATCGTATGTTGTTTTCCTTTCATCCTCAGTGATTTATTGTTTCTTTCTGGCTTTTATGACATCTGTACTTTTGTAATTGTAGCATCGAGCAAGATACCATTTCATAATCAAATCCATAGAGTTTACTTTTGATTATTCCAAGCATGGATGACCAATAATAAACTTCATTTTTTTCATTATCTCTGGGATCGCGTGCTTTCTTTTTGAATATAATTTTGGCGTGTTAATTTGTTTGTTCAAACAGTGACACATTTTCAATCCAGTCAGGGTTAAAACCTAACTAAAGTAATGACCCCATAGTATGTTGAAAATATTGATGTTGCCTGCTGATAGGTACTTTTGAAAACAAGTATGTCCAAACCAAAACACTCTGGGACAAACAAAGAAGAGGTTTTAATTTGGGACAGTATATACGGCTTTCCACCACTGAAAGCCCCATACATAGTATCTAAAGGTCAAATGGACAGGATTCAAGTCACTACATCCTCATGTGTGTGATCGGGGAGGTGTATCCTTTCAAAATTGGAGTGTTATCTCTGAGAGACAAGGAACTAACAGTCTGCATATAAATAAGCCAGATCTGTAAAATGAATGTGCATGCAAAACTCAAGGTCTGGAACAATGGACGAACAACCATAACTTTTTTTGTGCTAGAGTTTACAGCTGTTGAACATCAAGAAGAAGTCACTCAAGATAATCTTTAAAACTCATGAAATGTGGTAATTTACAGAAGAAATGTTTAATACATGAGTCGTATTCATAAGCCAATACAATGTTCAGTGATGAGCGTCCGTTCTGAGAAAACAAATGTTTATTAAGTGTTGACAACTCACTTCACAGACCACCCAGCAAACAATGCATAGCCTCACACCAAATATCAAACAAATCACAATGGAAAAACCTGGAAGCAAATAAGACAACAGATCTCCCAACTTTTGGGAACTAAGTGCAACAAGTTTTCATTCATTTTACATAGTTCATTGATTAAAAAAAATCTAAATGTAACAGCTTGCTGTGTTACCGGAGGTCCCCTCTAGTGTGCAAGCAAATAAAAAAAACTTGTCTCTTGTCAGTTTCAACATACAGATGTCAGACTTTGGACCACTGAAGTCAGTTTCAACATACAGATGTCAGACTTTGGACCACTGAACAAGCATTCAAGCAGAACATTTGTCTCAACACGTGGATCAAGAAGTAAACAAAATACTGACATTTTACTGACATTGTGAATACTGAAGAAAAGTGGTCTATGAACAGCTTATAACTCTTTGAGTCCCAAGAAACGCGTCATACGTTAATAGGTTCCTACCTAGAAGCCCAATGAACGCATGATGCACCAATTTTTATTACTCTTAAATACCCCTTGGGCCTGTGATGCTAAACCTCTGGAACTCAAAAAGTTAATATTTTGGAAACTTAAACGCTGCAATGCTGTAGAAATGATAGTTAATGGAAGGCTCAACTTCTGGAACAGAAAACGAAACTAGTCAGTTTTAATAAACCTCAATCATAAATGACAAAACGTATCATTCAACAAGAAAGTCGCCATCAGCATATGACACAATGGCAGACCGGTTGACCTTGCCTGAAAATGGACACCGGATGCTGATAAGATCTTAGGCATTAAAATTCATGTGGGAGGGAAATTAGCCCCCGGATAGTGACAGCAGGAACTGTATCATACAGTATGGAAAACAGATAAGGCAGAAGTACTTGGCATCAGGAAGGATGGCATGGCTGGAGATTGTGGACAGCCCAAGCTCCACTAGTAGATCAGAGGCAGAAAGAAATGCTGCAGAGATTGCACTAAACAAAAACAAGATAAAAGTACATCCAACTGGTCAAGTTTGTCTTCTCTACACCTACAAGGTCAGTACAAGGGAAAGGTCCCCTCTAACTACTGACAGATGTGCAGGTTAAAAAATATGGCCACATGTTTAATCATAGGACAGTGTTATAGCTACAGAAGAAAAGCAATTTTTCAAACTAGCAATATGCTACAATCCTCACACAACAATCACAGCACTGCCTAATAAAACAGTTGATTCTTTCACTCCATTCTTTTCTGCACAGCTGTTTCAAAATCATAAATGGAATCCAGTCCAGCACTCTAACCTCTCTCCTGAACATTCTTCCTATGGATAGATATCCACGTTTCCTCAATCCGTTTAATCCACAACAATACTGAGTCATTTAACACATTACCTTGCAAAGTCAGTCACTCACTGCTTTGTGTCAGGTATCCATATTTCTGACTTTGTACATGAAGTAACACATCAGGTCATTCGAGAGATGTGAGATGTCGATTCCTAGTCGGTTGATTTTCTGTTGCTGTCTTTCTCAGCGTTTCTCTCGTCTGACAGCCCCCTTCTTTGATTTTGAAGACTTGCTGTGACTGTCATCGCTGGAATCACTGTCGGAGTCAGAAGTATCATGCTGTCTCTTCCTGCTTGATGGTTTGTGGACAGCAGTTTTGTCCAGCGACTTCTTGCTGCCCTTTTTGTCGGGGGAAGACGAAACACTTCTACCTCTGACAGTCCTCTTCTTTGCCCGTTCAGGGCTGGAGTCGCTCTCTTCACTGCTGCTGCTATCATGTCTTTTCTCTTTCCCCTTCTCTCCTTTCTGGAAAACCCTTCGCCTTTCACTGCTGACTTGATCCTTGGCGTTCTCTCGATCGTGCTCATTCTGCCCCCTCCTGGCACTTCCGGACCGACTAATAAACCTCCTCTCCGAGGAATAATCACCATGGCGTTGAGAACCATCGCCAGTTCTATTGCTCAACATCTCATGCTGTCTATCTTTCCTCCTGTTATCATTATTGTCATAAACTCTCTGTCCCTTCTCCTCGACTCTCTTGCCGTAACCCACACTACCATCTCGTCTTCCAACTCCCCTGTCACTGCTGCTGTTCCATCTCTGACCTCCCTGAAGCAATCTTTCACCGTTACTCTGGCTTCTGCCATCACGTCCTTGCTCCCCTCGCTCTTTCCGTCGACCTCTGTCCTCATCTCGGTCATTTCCTGAAATCCTTACTTCCCTGTCTTTGTTGATCCTGTCCCCTCCATCATGTTTTGCCTTAGTTCTGTCCTCTCCATTTTGGAGGTTGCCATACTCTGCCATATCCAGAAGTCTATCTGCTATATTTCTTTTATTCTTTCCGGTGGATGTATTTTTGTCACCCATTTGTTTACTCCCCCCACCCAAAGATTTACTCCTGTTCTTGGGATTATATTCTGGCTCTGAAGATTTTCGCTTGTGTCTGCTGGCACGTTTGTTTTCTTTATCCGCTGCATTTTTCTTGGACTTGGAATCTTTGTCTCCAACTTTTTTCTCAGACTTGCCCACAGACTGTTTGCGTTTCTTCTTAGATGGTGCATCGGATTCAGACTCTGATGAACTGTCTGAATCTGTGAACAGATGTAAGAACAAAGGTTAGCAAACAGTTTTCAAAGTTATAAATGTTTAAGCTGAGTCAAGAATTGACATCACAGCACTCAGGGCACTGTTTTAAATGTTTAATGTTGGACAAACACCAACGTGGCTGTTCTAGCACCAGGAACTGTTGATGCCAGCTAGCAAGACTAGTGATGACCATGAGCCTTACAGTTCTTCTTATAGTCTCCACCCTGTGGTGTTGGTAGTCATGTCTACACATAAACTTCTGTCTCTGGGTTGGTAGTCATGTCTACACACAACCTTCTGTCTCTGGGTTGATAGTCATGTCTACACACAACCTTCTGTCTCTGGGTTGGTAGTCATGTCTACACATAACCTTCTGTCTCTGGGTTGGTAGTCATGTCTACACATAAACTTCTGTCTCTGGGTTGGTAGTCATGTCTACACACAACCTTCTGTCTCTGGGTTGATAGTCATGTCTACACACAACCTTCTGTCTCTGGGTTGGTAGTCATGTCTACACATAAACTTCTGTCTCTGGGTTGGTAGTCATGTCTACACATAACCATCTGTCTCTGGGTTGGTAGTCATGTCTACACACAACCTTCTGTCTCTGGGTTGGTAGTCATGTCTACACATAACCCTTGTCTCTGGGTTGGTAGTCATGTCTACACACAACCTTCTGTCTCTGGGTTGATAGTCATGTCTACACATAACCTTCTGTCTCTGGGTTGGTAGTCATGTCTACACACAACCTTCTGTCTCTGGGTTGGTAGTCATGTCTACACATAACCTTCTGTCTCTGGGTTGGTAGTCATCTCTACACATAAACTTCTGTCTCTGGGTTGGTAGTCATGTCTACACACAACCTTCTGTCTCTGGGTTGATAGTCATGTCTACACACAACCTTCTGTCTCTGGGTTGGTAGTCATGTCTACACATAAACTTCTGTCTCTGGGTTGGTAGTCATGTCTACACATAATCATCTGTCTCTGGGTTGGTAGTCATGTCTACACACAACCTTCTGTCTCTGGGTTGATAGTCATGTCTACAAATAACCCTTGTCTCTGGGTTGGTAGTCATTTCTACACACAACCTTCTGTCTCTGGGTTGATAGTCATGTCTACACATAACCTTCTGTCTCTGGGTTGGTAGTCATGTCTACACACAACCTTCTGTCTCTGGGTTGGTAGTCATGTCTACACACAACCTTCTGTCTCTGGGTTGGTAGTCATGTCTACACATAAACTTCTGTCTCTGGGTTGGTAGTCATGTCTACACACAACCTTCTGTCTCTGGGTTGATAGTCATGTCTACACACAACCTTCTGTCTTTGGGTTGGTAGTCATGTCTACACATAACCTTCTGTCTCTGGGTTGGTAGTCATGTCTACACATAAACTTCTGTCTCTGGGTTGGTAGTCATGTCTACACACAACCTTCTGTCTCTGGGTTGATAGTCATGTCTACACACAACCTTCTGTCTCTGGGTTGGTAGTCATGTCTACACATAACCTTCTGTCTCTGGGTTGGTAGTCATGTCTACACATAAACTTCTGTCTCTGGGTTGGTAGTCATGTCTACACACAACCTTCTGTCTCTGGGTTGATAGTCATGTCTACACACAACCTTCTGTCTCTGGGTTGGTAGTCATGTCTACACATAAACTTCTGTCTCTGGGTTGGTAGTCATGTCTACACACAACCTTCTGTCTCTGGGTTGATAGTCATGTCTACACACAACCTTCTGTCTCTGGGTTGGTAGTCATGTCTACACACAACCTTCTGTCTCTGGGTTGGTAGTCATGTCTACACATAAACTTCTGTCTCTGGGTTGGTAGTCATGTCTACACACAACCTTCTGTCTCTGGGTTGATAGTCATGTCTACACACAACCTTCTGTCTCTGGGTTGGTAGTCATGTCTACACACAACCTTCTGTCTCTGGGTTGGTAGTCATGTCTACACATAAACTTCTGTCTCTGGGTTGGTAGTCATGTCTACACACAACCTTCTGTCTCTGGGTTGATAGTCATGTCTACACACAACCTTCTGTCTCTGGGTTGGTAGTCATGTCTACACACAACCTTCTGTCTCTGGGTTGGTAGTCATGTCTACACATAAACTTCTGTCTCTGGGTTGGTAGTCATGTCTACACACAACCTTCTGTCTCTGGGTTGATAGTCATGTCTACACACAACCTTCTGTCTCTGGGTTGGTAGTCATGTCTACACATAACCTTCTGTCTCTGGGTTGGTAGTCAGGTCTACACATAAACTTCTGTCTCTGGGTTGGTAGTCATGTCTACACACAACCTTCTGTCTCTGGGTTGATAGTCATGTCTACACACAACCTTCTGTCTCTGGGTTGGTAGTCATGTCTACACATAAACTTCTGTCTCTGGGTTGGTAGTCATGTCTACACACAACTTTCTGTCTCTGGGTTGATAGTCATGTCTACACACAACCTTCTGTCTCTGGGTTGGTAGTCATGTCTACACATAACCTTCTGTCTCTGGGTTGGTAGTCATGTCTACACATAAACTTCTGTCTCTGGGTTGGTAGTCATGTCTACACACAACCTTCTGTCTCTGGGTTGATAGTCATGTCTACACACAACCTTCTGTCTCTGGGTTGGTAGTCATGTCTACACATAAACTTCTGTCTCTGGGTTGGTAGTCATGTCTACACATAAACTTCTGTCTCTGGGTTGGTAGTCATGTCTACACACAACCTTCTGTCTCTGGGTTGATAGTCATGTCTACACACAACCTTCTGTCTCTGGGTTGGTAGTCATGTCTACACATAAACTTCTGTCTCTGGGTTGGTAGTCATGTCTACACATAACCTTCTGTCTCTGGGTTGATAGTCATGTCTACACTAACTTTCTGTTTTTGATACTTTCCATAATTTCTAACTCACATGATCTTTAATCTCAAACTGTCCAGTATCTCTCCGTCTTTCTCTGCCTCCTTTCTCCTCCAACTTCACATACTCCACTTTCACTGCCTCCTTTCTCCTCCAACTTCCCCATCATCATCATATACTCCACTTTTCTCCTTCTCGTGTCATGAAAATATAATGTAGACTGTGTCTTCTTTTGATGTGGCCAATCCCCTTTGTGTATTAATTTTTCCACAAGATTGTGTTAAGGATGCACTGGTTCTACCCCATACCCCAACATACAATAGGATCTGGAAGCCACAAGGGGAGAAATCTACAACAATTTCAACGAATGATGGAGTTCTGACCTGATTCCTCAGAACTGGAGTCGGAGGATGAACTGCTGGCCTGGCCAGCCTCAGCTGCCTGTTCTGCTGCTTGAACTACGTGTTTGGTGGCAGTTTTCAGGTGCTCTCGAAGGTCATCCCTGCAAAGACAATCACATCGCCATCATCATCAATGAAATAAAGATAAAAAGCATTTAATGAACTCTTCCACGCATAAGAAGATATTTTCACCAATTTTTTTTCCAAGTTTAAACTTGGTTGTCTTCTCATAAATGGAAGCCTTTTTCTTATTCTTCTTTGGCTGCAAATTCCGGAGAACTTTAGTTTTCTTCCATAACCTGAGTGTTGTGTGCACATCCATTTGACAGATCTGACTTATTTGTATGCAGACTGCTGGTTCCTGGGTCTGAAGCAGATGCACTCCAACTTGTTAGTTGACTCTTACGACACACCTGTTGGGGATTCAGTGGGTCTATTCTTGTTATGCCCATAAAGAGGGCCTGGAAACCACCCAGACAGTTTGTCTCATCTCCTACCCTATGTAAGAAAACAGAAAAGATATCTTCCTCTATGGGTCTGTCACTTCTGCTCCTAAGCGTTCACATCCATTTTACAGATCTGGCTAATGTGTATGCAGACGGTTGGTTCTTCACCTCTCAAGAAGATGCACCCCAAAGAAACCACAGCTAACTAGTCACTTTTTACAGCATGCTCTTGCTGGGGGGGGGGGGGGGGGGGGGCTAAATGAGGCTTGGAATGCAAACAAGGACACATCTAGTCAATATAACGGGGTACATGAAACATCTTTATGTCCAATGTTGTGATTCAACACTGGGATAAGAAATATTACTTACGTTAAACCTCCAAGGCCAATGGTGGTGAAGAAGTTAATGCAGAATCTGGTGTTTTTAGGATTATCTTTCGCCATGAAGCCAGTAAAATAGGGTGACAAGGTTCTGTGGAAACAGTTAATAAAATTACAGTGAAGGACAGCAAGGTGCTTGGGTTTTGTAACAGCAGACAAAATTCAACACACGCAACAGATAAAGGTAATCACATTTTGATACTGCCAACAACAAAAAAGTACTAGTTACATTTTTTGCACTGTGAGGTGCATAGGTGCAGCACTCTTTTTACTTCTTGTACACATTGACCACAAAATGTCTAAAAAGGGTGGTGGTACTCATAACAGTGTCTATTACTGTAAAGTGAAACAGATTGGGGCTAAAAATGGACGTGGTACTCACAACAAAGTGTCTATTACAGCAGAGTGAAACAGATTGTGGCTAAAAATGGTGGTGGTAATCACAACAAAGTGTCTATTACAGCAGAGTGAAACAGATTGCGGCCAAAAAATGGTGGTGGTACTCACAACAAAGTGTCTATTACAACAGAGTGAAACAGATTGTGGCCAAAAAAGGGTGGTGGTAGTCACAACAAAGTGTCTATTACAGCAGAGTGAAACATTGCGGCCAAAAAAGGGTGGTGGTACTCACAACAAAGTTTCTATTACAACAGAGTGAAACACTGCAGCCAAAAAAGGGTGGTGGTACTCACAACAAAGTTTCTATTACAACAGAGTGAAACATTGCGGCCAAAAAAGAGTGGTGGTATTCACAACAAAGTGTCTATTACAGCAGAGTGAAACAAATGGGAGCCAAAAAAGTGCTGATAATCCAGACCACCATAAAAAAGTATGTATATACAGTGCTACCTGGTTTTACATGCTTAATCTGTTCCTGATCTTTGGACGTTTTTCAAATAAAATGTATTTAATCCGTTCCTGAACTTTGGATGTATATTTAAAAAAATGTACTTAATCCGTTCCTGATCCCTTGATGTATACCAAATCAAATGTCGCTTAAGAATGGAGAATTTTTAAATCTTTTCCCCTGAAGAAAAAATTCCCATCAATATTCATCATCAATGAGCAAGTCCTGTACAGAATATCACTCTCTTCACGGCTGAAAGTATCCCTTTCCCTAGCCAGCTCTCCAGCCCCGTGTGCTTTCAATGCCAAAGCATCTTCAATGTCCTGTATCCACCTTCCCAGGAATATATCAATATTAGCATAATATATATTGATCTGATGCAATGTTATAAAGTGTGTGTATGAATACATACATTCCAGTCCTTGAGAAAGAAAAAAGGGGTCTTTGAGCAGAAATGCAATAGAAAGATTCTCCGAACAGAATGAACAAAGAAGTAAAGAAATACTGACATTCTAAAAGATCTTGTATCAGAAGCTGAAATATTTTGGCGATATCAAGCACCGCAGCGGGTTGGGGGCAAAAATAGCATAAGGCTTGGTGCTAGGAAGGAGGGGGTCTTATTACTAAAAATCTGCCCAAAGAACTTCACTCCTGCCTTCTTCTCGGGATGTTTTGGAAATATGACACTGACTGGTCATTCCAGATTGTCGGGGTGATACTTCTCTGCAAAGTCACTGACATCAATCTGTGGCTGTGTTTTGAGTGAGTCAAACAAGGACAGCGCACAGTGTCATGACTAATTCTGATTCATATAAGTTCGAGCACATGTGTATCCCGCATTACAAGCTTAACACACACACACATATGCACAAATACGTAAAAAGAAATTTCATCATAACTTACATATCCTTTAGCCTCTCATTCAACTTCAGAAGTCCCATATATTCAGATAACTCCTGGAAGAGAATCTTCAGGAAGATACGACTGGCTGACGTAGTGTCATCTTCTGTCAGCTTGACAACACTCAGGACCTGATGGTTACCAAAAAAAAAAACAGATGTTTGCATTATATGAAATCTTTTCACATAATTAGTATTTCAGCACACATAAACTTGTAGTTTTAAAGCGTTAAGAAAGTTAAATGTTGAAACAATCGATACAAGAAATCATAACACTTGGGACCCTCCCATTAAGCGCTCTATCCCCATCTTCAGCAGCAAGCAAAGACTTCCGATTCCGATGACACCAGTAACTGTCTGATTGTATATCTGTCTCGCCTTTCCCTTGAGTGTTAAGCATCACCCAGATCCCCTGGCAACTCTTTTTAGCGCCATTTTCTTTAGACCGTAACGATTTATTTGTGACTGTATTGTTCACTCGCCCTTAGGGCTCTCACAACATCTAGCTTGCCATACGTCAATTCACTACCAGAACCAGCCAGTCTCCTGCCTGCTCATTTCCCAACAAACCGGCATGACCTGGAGAAAATATCCAAAGGACACTAACTACCTGGGACCCGTGAAGCGATGCTTCTCTTTTGCAGTGTTAAGTATTGCAGCAATGACAACTAGTTAACATACATTCTTGTGGAAGTATTATTAATGGCATTTCATGAAACTGCAACATGGGAGTCTGTATGGTATCGATTCACAATAGTACACAAAGACAAATTATCAATTCACCATACTACACACTGATAAAAGTCCAAACCATTAAGACAATGTTTTTTTTAAACCGATATACAGTATACAAGAATTGTAGAAACCAACTAAAACTATTCTGAATGAATCGATTTTGTAATGAAATAAAAGAATAAGGAAATATGTAAAACAGGCTCTATGTTTTAAGAATACAAGAATTAGAAAGATGTATTATCGACTCAACATTTTAAGAACACAAGAATTAGAAAGATGTATAATGGACTCAACATTTTAAGAACACAAGAATTATAAAGATGTATAATGAATTCAACATTTTAAGAAAGCAAGAATGAAAAAGAAAAAGAACAAATAATATATAATAAAAAAGGACAAGCCCAGGAAGAAAACTGAGAAAAGGCTGCCCGACAAGGAAAAATCAAACTGGAGGTCATGCCTACAGACTTGGTTCACATGATTCTGAGGTCTGTGTGGAATGTCACCACATTAAGACAAGTCTGACCTTGTGGCAGTCAATCAGACATTTAGACTTCTTGGAATAATGACAAAAAACAACACTTGTAATGACCCGTGTCTAAGTGAAAATGTAAAAATGCTTCAGTGGTTGGAAACCAAGTAGGTTAAACAGGCTGTTTGCTGCCCGAGTGCTATTTAACAAATTAAACAGTCACAAAAGAATATTTACTTATCCTTCTAAGCATTCACTGGCGTTATGGTTGTTTGTCCAGCTCTGAACTTTGATCTTGGGCTTTGCGTTCACAAATGTTTTCTGCCTTGTTTTTTTGTTTTTTTTTAAAGACTTTTTCCCTCGCCTTCCAGGCAGATACATCCCAACTTTGAAGGAAACACCCTAATTAGTCAACTTTTATGGCATAGTTGGGGGATTGGGGGGGGGGGGGTATTATTTCCCCCCAAAATGGAGCTCCCGAACCCACACAGCGAGATTCCAGTATTTATTCTTCAGGATCCTTTCCAGTGCTACAGAGTTTGAGTGTTGTGCTTTCAATCTCACTGTCTGATCTACAGGGGGTGACCGGATCACTTATGGGGATGTTTGAGAACATTTATCCTTAATCTTAGCCAAATAAACAGAGTAGAGATCATGATTATCCATAAGGCAGGGGTGTACACAAAATTAGAGTTGACTCTTACACATCATTAATATGGCAGGTGTGTACACAAAATTAGGACAAAATTAGAGTCGACTCTTACACATCATTCATGAGACAAGGATGTAAATAGATACAACTGAAGCAGATTCTTAAAGATCATCCATAAATTAGAAGTTTAAACAGAATAAAACTGGTGCAGAGTCTTACAGGTCATACATAAGGTAGTGGTTTAAAATAATAAAACTAGCAAAAAAATTTTTTACAGAACAAGATCATAGGGCAGGAGTGTATACAGGGATGTGTCTCCAAGGACAAGACAGAAGACATTATAACCCGACTTCTTACAGGTACAATCGGTAGAGGCACCTCGGAGCGGCTGCTGCAGCGGATGAAATTGCATGTATGGGAGTGCCCAATGAAGTCAACTGTGATAACATAACAGTGGTGTGAACTGATAACACTAGTACAGAAACTTACCCCCCAGGAAATGGCATCAGTGTGAAGTAAGTGAGCAAAGAATTTGGCCACGTTGCGAACTTTGTTTGTCTCCAAACGGTGAATTGTTTCGTACTGCTCCATAAATATTCGCTGAAATGGCTCGATGTACTTTTTGTCTATTTGACAGAATCGCTGAGAGGAACAGAATAAGATAATTAGTGAGATATTTTGATAAAATATTTTATCAACTCTGGTTGAAATCAACAAACAACAGTGTAGCCACAGATGATTAGTGAAAACTACAAAATCAACATCACAGGATGACAATACCCCATTCTCCTTCAGCAAATATCACTATCTCACACATGGCAAATGTCACCACTTCCCACACATGGCAAATGTCATCACTTCCCACACATGGCAAATGTCATTATTACTCACACACAGCCAATGTAAGATTTCCACAAACAGCAAATGTCAACATTTCCCCACACTTAGCAAACATCAAACCAATTGTCACACGCAGCTTCTTCTTCTTAGCATTCACCAGCTTCAAACTCCAGTGGATAAGTTCTGATTGTTCATCCACTTCTGGACTTTGGTTCTTGTTCCAGAGCTTGAGTTTTACATGCAAAACCCGGAAAATATATCCAACCTCACACATATGAAAACATGTCCAATCCCACACAACCCACACATATGAAAATATATCCAACCTCACACAACCCACACATATGAAAATATTTCCAACTTCACACATATGAAAACATGTCCAATCCCACACAACCCACACATATGAAAATATTTCCAACCTCACACATATGAAAACATGTCCAACCCCACACAACCCACACATATGAAAATATTTCCAACCCCACACAGATAAAACATTTCATGTGCAGTAAACAAAACACAAAGAAAATATCCAAACTGACATGATTACTGGGAAAACATTTTCACAGAAAAACATTTCCAAACACACACAATCCATACAGCTGAAAACATTTCTAAACATACACAATCCACACAGATGAAAGCCCACACAGATGCAAAAATTTCTAAACATTATTAATCCACACAGACTGCAACATTTTCAACCCCACAAAGATAAATACACATCACCCCCTGTAAACAAAACACAGAAAAACATATTGAAACTGACAAGTCTACCGGCCACTTTAACATACATTTGCGAAATTTAAAAAAAATTTCAGCTGGCAAAATATATTAGGGAAAACTGATGCTGCAATAATAAACTCACACACACGCAACATAGGTAGGACTTACCTGAGCAAGCAGACCAAAGAACTTCTCATAGGTTCTCAACTGAGCACAGCAGTCAAGTATCATGTTGCACAACTCCACCTAACAAATACATTAATGTAAACAGTTTCATTTTCAGTCAACAACAAGAAGAGTGACTTATTTTCTTAAATACAAACTTAACTGTTATGAACAGTGAAAATACGAGGAACTATAACCAGGATGTTAAAGGTGAATGAATGGAAGACTTGATAAATGAGACAAACAGATTTTTACAGACTAATTACCTTGACCAGTCTACTACATCAGCAGATGGAAAACAAGCTGTGATGCTCAGACAACAATATATACCCATTTAACAGATCTGCCATAACTGTCAGCACAGTGCTGGCTCCTCAGCTCTGAAACAACTGCACTCCAACTTTGAAGAGAAAACAGCTAATTAGGCTACCTTTACGACAGACACGCTTGTCAGAGGAGGTAGAGGGTCTTTTCTTCGCCCCCCCCCACCCCCTTTTTTATAAGGCTTAGAAACCTACATAAAGAATGTGCAACATGCAATGGGCAATTAACAAACATTCAGTTTCATGGAAACAAAAGCTATCAAATACAGAGGTACTGAGGAAATTGGGAATGAAACGAGAGTTGCTCGGTGTAATTAAAAAAAGAGACAAGTGAAATATTTTGGCCACATTAAAAAACATAACAGTATTGTAAAGATCATCCTAGAGGGAAAGGTTCAAGGTAGGCGTGCAAAAGGCAGACAGCGTTACAAGTGGGAGGATAACATCAAGAGATGGACGAACAGCAGTATGAGTGAGTGTACATCAAAGGCAAGAGACAGGGCTTGTTGGAGATCCATTGCAGCCAATCTTTATTGTGGAGATGGCACCTGATTGATTGACAGTGAGCTGTTGAATGGTCACAGAGTTCAGAGCATTCATGATGGCAGTTTAATTGACAGCCTGATGACCCTGTGAATGGGTGCCCAAAAGCCTCCTTGCTCTTCCCTGGTGATCCAATGAAACCCCAGCTTTCACTGTAGATATGACAATCAACTGATGATGATGATGATAAACCTTTCGGATAATTAGACCCACGTGCTTCAACCAGAGATTCATAGAGCAGCGCAGGAAGATCCCCGCCCAATCATGTCACGGCTGCAGTTGAAACTAAATGGAGAAATCCTAAAGATGTTACTGAAGCACTTTGTCTCTCAGAAAAAACTCCCCAGCCACAGCATGAGATTTTCTAGCCTCTGGCAGCAGATGCTGCCTTAGCTTCTTCTTCTTTGTGAGGTCTCTGCAGCAAAGTAGTCAAGCTGTGTTTCTCACGTTTTGAAGGCCATAGGTTTGTTTGAAGACGGTGGTGTTCAGTTCACAAATCCCTAGGGATCATAGCCGGATCTATGAAGTTCATGCTTTATGTGGTACCTTCAGCAGGTGGCTAGCCCATCCTGCCAACAGAGACTGAGATAGACTTTGATAAACTCCAGTGCAATAATGTCCTTTTACCTTTAGCCTTTTTCTTAGTCAGGGTTCATAGCCAAATTTACCAATCAATTTCAAGGCTTTTCAAGGTCTTTTTCCTTAGTTTTTTTCAAGGTTGTCTCGGTGTAATACTGAAACAAGATTTTTGCCTTGTTCAAGGGTGTACTGAGCACACAAGGTACTTCATTTGTGCCACATGTGTTGGTATACCAGCACAGATATCATCATCATGTAGCATTTCCTTTGTCCTGACAAAAAAACCTCGGTCTCTCACCAGCTCTCCTGCCTCATGTACTTTTTTATACTCAAGGAGTCACTTATATCCTGTGCCCATCTTCGTGTTGGTCGGCCCCTGAGCTTGATATAGTGTTTTAAATTTTTTTTTAGGGTTTGGTGGTAGAGGGCAGCAAACTGAAGTCCTGTCTGTTCTGGACCTGGTACCTGAGAGGGTTAGGGGAGAGAGAGAGAGAGTCATGAAGAGAGAGGAAGACACATGCTGAGGTAGGCTGGGAGAGACAGTGTAAAGATGGACAGATGAAGGTAGAGAAAAGAAGGAAAAGAAGTCTGGGGAAGGAGGAAAAAATGAGAGGGAGGGATGGAGACATGATGAGAAAAAGTAGGGAAGGGACAGCGAAAGACAGAGAGGGAGACAAATACAGAAAGAGGGAATGCAGATACAGAGATGGGCAGATGAAAAGAGAAGGAAAAATGGAACGAAACAGAGATATGGAAGAAGGAAAATATGACAAATAGTTGAAAGAAGGGAGACAAAAGGGAGAGAGAACGGACAGGGAGAGAAACAGATGCAAGCAGAGAGAGATGTAGACATAAAGGAGAGAGAGACAAAGGGACAGCACAGAGAGGCAAGCAGACAGGGAGAGAACCAAAGAAAGAGAAAAAAGGCAGAGCAAGAGAATGGGAGGGAGGTATACAGAGGAAGTGATGAAGGGAGGCAAACAGACATAAAGCAAGAGAGAGAGAGAGAGGTGGGTAAGGAAGGCAGTGACAAACACAGATTAAGAGAGAGGGGCAGGAAGGGAGACAAGATACATCAAAAAAAAAAAAACAGCCAGCTTTCACTGTAGATATGACAATCAACTGATGATGATGATGATAAACCTTTCGGATAATTAGACCCACGTGCTTCAACCAGAGATTCATAGAGCAGCGCAGGAAGATCCCCGCCCAATCATGTCACGGCTGCAGTTGAAACTAAATGGAGAAATCCTAAAGATGTTACTGAAGCACTTTGTCTCTCAGAAAAAACTCCCCAGCCACAGCATGAGATTTTCTAGCCTCTGGCAGCAGATGCTGCCTTAGCTTCTTCTTCTTTGTGAGGTCTCTGCAGCAAAGTAGGTCAAGCTGTGTTTCTCACGTTTTTGAAGGCCATAGGTTTGTTTGAAGACGGTGGTGGTTCAGTTCACAAAATCCCTAGGGATCATAGCCGGATCTATGAAGTTCATGCTTTATGTGGTACCTTCAGCAGGTGGCTAGCCCATCCTGCCAACAGAGACTGAGATAGACTTTGATAAACTCCAGTGCAATAATGTCCTTTTACCTTTAGCCTTTTTCTTAGTCAGGGTTCATAGCCAAATTTACCAATCAATTTCAAGGCTTTTCAAGGTCTTTTTCCTTAGTTTTTTTCAAGGTTGTCTCGGTGTAATACTGAAACAAGATTTTTGCCTTGTTCAAGGGTGTACTGAGCACACAAGGTACTTCATTTGTGCCACATGTGTTGGTATACCAGCACAGATATCATCATCATGTAGCATTTCCTTTGTCCTGACAAAAAAACCTCGGTCTCTCACCAGCTCTCCTGCCTCATGTACTTTTTTATACTCAAGGAGTCACTTATATCCTGTGCCCATCTTCGTGTTGGTCGGCCCCTGAGCTTGATATAGTGTTTTAAATTTTTTTTTAGGGTTTGGTGGTAGAGGGCAGCAAACTGAAGTCCTGTCTGTTCTGGACCTGGTACCTGAGAGGGTTAGGGGAGAGAGAGAGAGAGTCATGAAGAGAGAGGAAGACACATGCTGAGGTAGGCTGGGAGAGACAGTGTAAAGATGGACAGATGAAGGTAGAGAAAAGAAGGAAAAGAAGTCTGGGGAAGGAGGAAAAAATGAGAGGGAGGGATGGAGACATGATGAGAAAAAGTAGGGAAGGGACAGCGAAAGACAGAGAGGGAGACAAATACAGAAAGAGGGAATGCAGATACAGAGATGGGCAGATGAAAAGAGAAGGAAAAATGGAACGAAACAGAGATATGGAAGAAGGAAAATATGACAAATAGTTGAAAGAAGGGAGACAAAAGGGAGAGAGAACGGACAGGGAGAGAAACAGATGCAAGCAGAGAGAGATGTAGACATAAAGGAGAGAGAGACAAAGGGACAGCACAGAGAGGCAAGCAGACAGGGAGAGAAACCAAAGAAAGAGAAAAAAGGCAGAGCAAGAGAATGGGAGGGAGGTATACAGAGGAAGTGATGAAGGGAGGCAAACAGACATAAAGCAAGAGAGAGAGAGAGAGGTGGGTAAGGAAGGCAGTGACAAACACAGATTAAGAGAGAGGGGCAGGAAGGGAGACAAGATACATCAAAAAAGAAACAAAAGAATACCTCCCCCCCCCCCCCCAGCCACCTCCCCCCCCCCCCCCCCCCCCCCCCCCCCCCCCCCACCCCCCCCCCCCCCCCCCCCCCCCCCCCCCCCCCCACAATTTCAAGTAGTGGACACAACCACTAGGAAAATATAGTTATGGGGCAAAAAAAATACGTAGATGAACCAGTAAAAAAAATGGGGGGGGGGGGGGGGGGAATGAGAGAGGGGAGCGGGTAAGGATATCTAGAAAAAATGAAAAGACAGGATGGAGAGGAGACAAAGAAGAGATGGGACAGGAGAAAGGGTAAAGAAAGGAAGAGAGGAAGAATGGAGAGAGAAAGGAGAATAGTAGAAGATCAAAGGAAAGAGAAGGGGTGAGAGAAGAAAGGTAAGACACGGTTGTGGGGGTGGGGAGGGGTGTAAGAACAATGAGTGCCAAAAATAGAATTAGGAAATCTCTAAGTGAGGCCACTTTTCCATACCCTCTCCCAATGTGAATGTGGCCGTGGTCCAAAAACAACAGTGCTAACCCCTACTGCCCCTTGCTTGTCCTATCTGTGTGTGATAACAATAATTCAATTTCTTACACTTAAGGCTGGTGACCTGAGAGCCAAGGTCATTTTATGAAGAAAAAAAAAGTCCAGGGGATCCCAACCCACCACTGGCGGAAAATAGAGAAATTTACCCACACATAAATAGGTCAGACACATAAATAGGTCAGGGCAGCAGTGGACTTCATTTTATTTCTGGTTTTCCAATTACAGAAAGGAGGGGAGACAGGAGGTGGTGGAAAGTGGTGTAGAAGGCTGAGGTGGTAAGGGTGAGACAGAGGAGGTGAGAGAATAAAGTTTAAGAAAATAAAGTGGGAATGAGACAGGGAGAGAAAGAAGGGAGTAAGAAATAAGATGAGATATAGAGGGAAGAAGGTAGCAGGAAGGGGTGCACTCCCTCCCCTAGGTGTCATCAATGTGGGAGGAGAAAAGGGGGGTGGGAGGAGAAAAGGGGGGGGGGGTGACGGAATATGTGTTTTTAAAAGTACACATATATTTAATGTGTGTGGGGAGGGAGGGGGAATGGTGGACATGAAATGTTCTGCACTAGGCAACACTTAACCTTCTACACCAACTGAAGGTATGGAGAAAGAAAGAGAGAGAGGGAGGGAGGGAGTGAGGGAGAGTGGCAAATACAAAGAGAAAGAGGAAAGCAGTGACACAGACAGGCAGAGAGTGAGGAACAGGTAGGACAAAATGTGAGGGGGCGGGAAGGGAGATGGACAGAGATTAAGGCCGCTAGGAAAACAAACACATCAAAAGAAAATATCCACCATGTTCACACAGAATGCCCCCCCCCCCCCCCCCCCCCCAATACAACTTCCTGTGTACTTGAGTTGCTAGAAAGAGTTATGGAGCCGCACATTTACTAAACATTTAAACAAGAAATAAAATAGGAAAAAGGGGGAGGGGGGACAGGAAATGAGAGATTAAAAGGAAAGATAGAGAGAAAGAGAAAAAGATGAAGATCAGAAGGGAGGGTTAGAGACAATGCAGGAGACGGGAAGGAAGGAGCAATAGGTAGAAGAGTGAAAGAGGGAGGGAAGAGAGAGAGAGGGGTGAGACAACAGAAGAGGGAATCTCTAGGAATTACAATACTGATCGCCAAACACACTGTAAAGATAAATCCAGGCCAAAAATAGAACTGGGAAATCCAGCTGACGGTCACTTTGCTTAGCGACTCTATTTATAAATACAACTGAACCGAGCCCCACCATCTCCCAATGTAATCCTTTCTAGAAACCACGGCCATAAATGATTTATACTGTTCATTCTGCCCAACTAGCTAGAAAAGCCAAATGGCTCCCCAAAAATTGCCTGTGCTAAAAAAACACAGGATTTCTGACGATTTCATTGCCGTGGTCAAAATCCACGGCTTTTCAAGGTCGGAATGTCTTTTATAAGCTAAAAATCTCGGTTCAAGGTCAACGAAAAAAATCCCGGTAATTTCCCGATTTCCCGGTCCACTACGAACCCTGCTTAGTGCTCACCAGCTGTAAACTCTGACAGAAAGTTTTGGTTGTTCATCAACCTCTAGACTTCAGTTTTGTGTGCCCATTCATTTCACAGATCTGGCGTATTTTTATGCATACTGTTGATTCTTTACCTTAGAAATTTGCACTTCGACGTCACGACAAAGGAAACGCCCCCAATTAGTGGCCTCCTACGACATACTTATTAGACGGCAGTAGGTCTCCCCCCCCCCCCCCAGACTCTGGAACCACACATGGATTGCCCCAGCTAACAACTGTAATTTAATTACATTGTACTTAATAAACAGAACGCCATTTCATAAAATGTTTATACTTGTCCTGTTCGCGGGTGTCTAAAGGGTTGAAGAAATCTGACTACACTTGCCCTAAGACAAATGGCAATGATGTTGTTAGACGGAATAAGCATACACAACTTTCTCCTCACAACGAACAGAAGAAAGAGGTCTGCAACCGTGTGATTACCTCTTGTCCCGGCTTCAGCTCCATCTTCAACATTTTGTGGGCACACTCATTGTGGTCCAAACTAGACTGCACCGTCAGGTAGATGGTTCTCCGAAGTGCCACCAGGTTGGTCTCTGTTTTGTCAATGATGGTCTGTTTCTCTGCATCTAGATCACATAAACATATCAACATAAAGAGCTGGTGTCCACACTTTGAAGAAAACTGAGCATAAGATGCTAGTTCCTTTTTGTATTTTAAATAAAGATGAATGTACATCAAAATACAGATCTCTTTCTTCTTCTTGACGTTGATTGGTTGTAAACTCTGGCAGAAAGTTCTGGTTATTTATCCACTAAAAACTGTAGTCGAGTTCCAGGGCTTGAGTTTTGTGTGCACATTCGCTTTACACATCTGACTTATTTTGTATGCAGACTGCTGGTTCCTTGCTTCCCAGGCAAATGTACTCTAATTTTGAAGGAGACTTTCCTAATAAGTCACCTATTATGAAATGTGTGTGTGAGTGAGTATCAAGATAAAAAAGAAGAAAAGAGAAAGAGAACAAGACAGCCAGATAAAGCGAGAGCAAATAAACAGTAAGCAAAACTGTGCATGTGCACAATTAATTAAACATATAATTACATGTCAACAACATACGGCTGTGAAGCTGGGACAACTGGAAAACAGTCTCACACACACACAGGATGCCTTGAGGTGGTTCTATAAAAGAACACTGAAAATTTCCTTAAAAACAATAAGTAATAAACATTTTCACACAAAAATGCCAAGACAAAGTCAGCTGACCACGAATATCACAAGGGGGGGGGGGGGGGGGGGGGGGGGGGGGGGGGGGGGGGGGGGGGGGGGGGAACAGTTAGTATGTGCAGCCAATCATAAGAAGGAGCTCTAGGTGTGAGTTCTGGGCTCCATTTTAGAGAGGCCCACCCCACAACATGTGTGTCATAGGAGGCAACCAATTAGTGATATTTCCTTAAAAGGCAGAGTGCATTTGCCTGAGACACAAGGAACCAACAGTCTGTTTACAAATGAGCCAGACCTGTAAAACGGATGCCCACACAAAACTCAAGTTCTGGGTCAAGACCAAAATTCTGGAGTGAACGAACAACCAGAAATGCCTGCTGGAGTTTACAGCCAGTTACCATTTTAGAAGAAGAAGAGAAGAGACAAAATAGAACATACTGTGACAACTGGAGGCAGGGGAGAGCATGAGAGATTGTGAATTACTGCCTAAGTTCGCAGCACAGAAAATCTACATGACCGATACATGCTGTAGGCACTCATTCGCGAATTCGGTACCGTACCTGATGATAAACTTCTGCATTAACTTTCAACTCTTTGGCCCCAGGAATGCTAGAAGAAATGGGTCATAAACCCCAGGGGAAATTCCCTAAAAATGTCTTTACTAAATACAACCTCGTATATGGCATTAACTGGGTGTTTCGTACACATGTCACAAGAAATACTGGTTAAGCAACACCCTCAAAGAATGAACCTACAGGAAGTACTGAGTTTGCAGCTTTCCAATGTGAAAGAGTTAAAAGGGTGGTTGGCATGTTGTGCTGTGGTTTATCGCTAGGCTGTGATATTTGAAACAACCCGCCATATTTAAGAAACCCCATAATCAACCACCTTCTACGACATGCTTCTGAAGTGACAGTGGGTCTCTTCCCTCCCCCTCCAATGGGGGGAAGCCACAAGTCAGCGGTGATAACAAATAACTTACTTGCTTTCTCCTCATCTTCGGTGTCGCTCTCTGAGGATTCGGACCCTGATGAGTCACCTGATTCATCCGAACTGGCTTCATCAAGTATTTCTGTGTGGAAACAGCAAGTGGATGTGAATAAATTAGTCTACTTAAACTAAAAAGTCTGCAACTTTACAATGACAACTGATAAACACAAATTATGCTGTCTCCCCAATGGAGTTCTAATTCCAAACACCGTAGAGAGGGACAAGTCTACGGCAGAAGAGCCATAGGCAGACGATGCCAGTGGAAGGATAACATCAAGATATGGATGAACAGCGGTCTAAAAGAGTGTATTACCAAGACAAGAGACAGATTGTTTAAGATCCACTGCAGCTAGCTTTCCTGTGAAGACGGCACCGGATTGACTGAAATGTCCATGAAAACATTTACTAGATTATTAGTCGCTGTCACGAGAGGATGCCTTATTGTACACGCAAATATATCAACACTGGAGGAAATGCAAACTGAGATGAGCTGGTTGTTTCTGCATTAGTTTTTAAAATTGACGGGATATCCGCTGCTCTCCGCAGACAGTGAGTTCAGAAACAATAATTTATTCTAAAACAGGGATTCTCAACCTGTGGGTCGAGACTCCTTTAGTGGTCATCACAGGAAAATGTTATCAAATGAATGGACAGACTGGACATTTTTGCAGAAACCCTCACAGCACTTTGGCATTGACAGCTCTTTCATGGATGGCAGATGGGAAATGAGGCGTGGATGACCTCAGAAAACTGGAAAAGAGCAGTAGAAAGGGAATGAAGGCAGTAAATTGCCATGGGCTACCATGGCCAATCAACAGACCGGCGGCAAAAAAGATCACCTGTGAATGACTTGTGTGTCAAGTGACATAAAGAGGACATAATAGATAATGCTTGTCTAATGACAGATAATTCTTCCCTAATTCTGTTCTAATTACTAAACTATGACACAGTCTATAACACATAAGAACTAAGCATATATTTTCTATGGTGACAAATACTGGCCTTTTGGGCTGTAATCTTTGCTACAGACAGAATTTATTCAACATTACCTTTTTTCAGAGCCTTGTACTTTTCTTCATTTTCAGCAAAATGTGGGTCTTCCTTGAATATATCTGGGGAAAAATGAGTTTGAGAAAATCAGAAACATCATTAGATTTGAACATTTGTTTCCAAATTTTTTTTTAAAATAATGGTGAATTAGTTGAAAATAGGTTTTGTGCCTTTAGAAATAGAATTAATTAAATTAGGATCAATAGACTAGCACAGAAGCAAATATTCGGTACAGCCCTAGTTAACACTAATGGCAAACACAGATTAACTAAAGGAAAAATAATGCAGGTGATCAGATCCTTTCACTCTTAGAGAAGACCCAAGAACAAATCATTACAAATGTGTTTTACACAGGTCACATGCAAAATCCATTTATGGGGAAAATATTAAATCCCATATGGACTAAGAGGAGTAATCAGCAAACAAAAATGCAGCAAGAACCAACAGTGTTAAATCTCTCATGGCCTACAGCAATTATATTATAAACCATTCCTGACCCTGTGGCCAGGCTATCGCTATGACCAATGTGAAATTATGACTTCATAATTTATATATTTTAAGCCACTATTTTTTTTTTTTCACAAGACAACTTGAACTTAATGCTATTTTTAGAAAATATAATCATTCCCAGTTGTCCTAAATGTTTGTGCAGGCACAAACAGAACCAATCTGTTGTCATCTATGCTTCTTGTGAAAAAGCCACTATAGCAATGTCAGCAACATCCACAGAGGACAGGACCTAACTGCAAGTGTTGAGTTGCAGATTCTCAGGTCAAAATACGGCTGAAATGGGAAATATACCAAAAGGTAACACTGAAAAAAACACACACACATACTTAGCAACTCATCTGCAGCGACGGCATCCTCTAACTGTAACAGATGGGTAAACTGCTCCTCCTCCTCCACCAGGTCTAGATCTGTCGGAACCGCTGGATGATCCTGTCAAGATGAATGTACCAGTTTACAAGAGATTTCACACAAATATCTGGATATGCACAATATCTGGATATGCACAATATCTGATACATACTGAGAGAATTAAATCTTAGCTGACGTAAATGAGACATAAAGTAAACTTTATATACTGTGAAATGTATACTTTAGCTGAGATTAAAAAGTACCTGCCAAAGATAAATATACGTCTTAGCCATAAGCTATCAGCACAAGAAAATATGGCATGACTGATTGGAAAAAAAGGATGAATTTACACCCTCCTCTGTTTTAAAAAGACTGATCCCCGTTGAGTTCCAAGACCCCATTGTGAGAAAAACCTGGAGAGACCCTCTGCCCCAACAAGCATGTCGCAAGAGCTGACTGAAAAAAACGGCTTCCTTCAAAGTCGGAGTGCATCTACCTTAGAGGCAAGGAACCAATAGTTGGCATACAAATAATCTAGATCTGTAAAACAAACAGGCACACAAAACTCAGGTTTCTTAAAGAAAACTAAAGTCCAGAGGTGGAGCAACAACCAGAACTTCTGCCAGAGTTTACAGTCGGCGAACGTGAAGTGGAAGAAGAGAAAGACTGAGATGTACAAAACACATGAAGAAACTACTTCACGCACAAGACATCAAAAACTCTATACACAAGAGATGTTAAAGAAGATCTGGTTCTCAAAGCTGTTACCTTAAATCCATCTTTACGAATGGCAAACATGACCTCCACCATGTACTGAACCCTGACATCTAGCTGACCTTCGTGAAGGATGTTCCGCAGTCGTTCAAATATGGCTGTGGGGTAAAGGTTTAATATAAGATGGTAAAAATTCAGATGAACTGGAGAAGGCTGCAATTACAGGCATCAAGTTTTGTCAGAATCAGTGTCACAGATTGTTAATACGCCTGCAGACAGGGCGGTGCTTGTGCTGGAGGATTCAGGGTCATTGACTAGTGCAGTCGCCACAGACTGTGCAGTTAGGATTTTATATTTATCCCCGATAAAAAAATAAAACCATGACCCTACCAACGATCTGAACCTGGGTCTCCCAAATGAGATCCCAGAGTCCTTAGCCATTAACCAGCCACGCCTCATTGACTCCACTGATGGCACAAATATATTCATTCATGACCCAGTCTCATCACAGAGACTACATCAGGAGAATTAAAGAATTAATCCACAGGTCTGTAGCATGAACCATGAATGCTAAATATTTGTGTTTAGCATTCCCATGTGTACTCCGTCCAATGCAGCAGCCACTTCAAGGCACCTGTACTGATTGCTCCCATTAGGACTTGGTTATAATTTCTCCTATCTTTGCCTTTAAGGTGGCACAGACATGCTTCCCCGTGCTTTACTCCCATGTCATGTAATCGTGTTAGTGCCAAAGATTCGTCATTACATTATGCCTAAATATTTGTTGTTTGCGGGTATCACAATCTTGATATTTATTTACGAAGGGGTTGGAGACTTAATTGTCTTATTTGGTAAAAATTTACAGTCCAGGTGGGTCCCATGTGGGTTCTGGGGTCCCATTTTGGGAGAGAAAACAAGAACAGACACACCCCCCCCCCCCCCATGTTGAAAAAGGCGAATAATTAGGGTTTTGTAGAAATTAGATGTGTTGGGTCAAAAGAAGCAGATATTGCACCCAAGCTGTAAACCACAATATGTCAACCATCCTTTTAAGGACAAACACATAAGAAAAAGAAGAAGAAGAAAACTGCACGTATAACCAGAGCTGCAGGAGCCGGACATAAGACAGTGAAACCTTGAAGCCACTAAGAGTATATTGTTTGTACTGCCTAAAACAAGTTTGCTCTTCAGTTCATCTTCTTCGATTCTTCTTTTAGAAAGCCTTATAACAGGTCTCTTAAAAGGCCCTATATGAGGAAGTCAGTAGCCTTGATGAAAGCTATCCTGCCGTTCACATCCCTCCCTGTGCCACAGTTTTGTTTTAACTTCTCTCTTAGAAGTCATCCAGCCTACAGTGTTGGAGTACATGCTCAGCTAGACCTTCAATACTGACAAGGAAGTTTCTGCGGTTGAAGTTATTTGTTTCATGCTCTGAAGGTTATGGTTGCAATTTTGCCAAGTCAGAGGTTTTGGAGATCCACAGAGTGTAAGGCTCTTGCGGACTTCCAGTCACCCTGTGGAAAGGCTAGTTAATGTGGGCTAAAAACCAGCAAAATTAAGTTAGCCCTCTCGCCTTAAACATCCTTCATCAATAATGAAAGATATATGAGTTAAACTGCATTCTGCACAAATATTTACTCATTTTCCTAATCTTTTCTCTTACTAAACCAACAAACACTGGATAACTGCACATGCAAACTAACCACTGGATTACTGCACACTTTTAACCAACTATTGAATAACTACAGCATCTGCCCACCAACCACTGGATGACTACTACACATGAAACTGCTCCCTCATGATAATCCACAATGATGATGAGACATAGCTGCTTTGGGGAGTCAAGTCCAAGCTACGTTAACTGTTCTACACTGCTGGACTAACTAATTTGAAACGTTCTCACTTTTTATGTTAATTTTCCAAGAGTTCAGAAAGACCTAAAAGATTCATCAGAAACTTCTGCTATTTACACCAGACTGCTTCAAGAGATGCTAGATCCAAATTACACCCAGATACAGATCCTATGACTCTCAGACACATCGTGGGAATGACACCTTGTACTAGATTCATCAAGAAACAGCGTAGTTATCACAGCCTAGCAGTAAACTGAGAAACAATGTGTCAACTATCCTTTCAAGGGTAAGTGCAAAAGAAAGATGAAGCATAGGAGATCACCCCAAACATAGCCTTTTAAGAGAGAACACACATGAAGAAGTATGGGCAACCACCCCTAACAGTTTTAAAATTAGAAAAAGAAACTTACAGTTAATTCCCCTTGGTGAAACCTCTGTCAGTTTCTGGCCACATTCCTTGAGAAAGCCTATAGCAACTTCCACAGAATCATCAGTTGGGTTTTCTAGAAGCAGCGTCAAAATCTCCAAAGCCAGAACCTCGTGCGCCTGAAACAATCAACAAACAGCATTGTGATTAAAAGGCAAGTTTGATTAGCAAAACAACAAAATGCTAAGATGACAGCAGGAGAATATATTCAGGAATTCTATTTTACAGGCCAACTGGCTTCCTCTTCTTTTTGTGACCACACTGTTGATTTACATCGACAGACAAGTTCTTATAATAAAACTGGCAATTTTGTGGAGTTTATCTTTTGTTGCATACAACTATGAGTGGGGTTTTGACTCACTGGGCCAGTATTCTCTAGGCTTCTTAATGATATGTACAAGGATCAGGCTTGCAGAACATGACCTGCAATTTGTAGCCCACATGGGCACAGTGGCAAGCTATTCAGATGAAACCTGTGCATGTGTTTGTTAAGTTATGCCCTGTCCTGAGGCGAAGAATGATGACCTGGCTATGCCAGTCAAGTAAGTGGCCTGATTCGGTTCACTACTGACAGACTGGAGGGCCCTTTTGTCTCAAAGTATGTTACTGCATCGTCTTCCTCTTCACATTCTTCTCCTTTCTTTCAGGATTTCAACCCTTCACTGATTAAACAAAATGGATAACAAACAGAATGCTGCTCCTCACTGGTGCAGGTCAAAAGTGAGGCGGCCATCTTTAAATTGCCATTATGATATCAGAGTTTATCTGCACCGTGACACTAACATGCTCGACACTTTTGAAATTCTTAACAACAATACTGACATGTAACAAGACAACAATGGCATGGTTATTGTAACTTCTATCATACTTTAGAGGTTTTTATTTGAAGACCTCTAGTACTTGATGCCAACAACAACAGTATTCAATGAGATTAATAAAAAAAAACACCACTGGTCAGAAAGGAGAGTATTTGGTGATAGAATAAATATTCTTTGTCTGAGGATGACGACGGGAGAAAAGAGAAATGCAACAAACTTTGGTAATATTGTGCAGAGAAGCTCTGATGAACTGCCAAATATTTGAAATCGGATGCAGTAAATGGGGAAAAGGCCTCGGAAAGGATAGGAAAGGGGGGGGGTGGGGGGGGGGGCAGAGAATATTCCCACTGCCTCTCTGTCAAGTATGCCATAATTGGTAACTAATTAGGGAGTTTTCTTCGGAAGTTGGAGTGCCAATAGGTGAAGAAACCAACATCCTGCATACAAATAAGTAGATCTGTAAAACAGATGTGCATGCAACATTCAAGTTCTGGATAAAGTATCCAGAAGTGGATAAACAACCAGAAATTTCTGCTTGAGTTAACAGTCGGGGAATACTAAGAAAAAGAAGAAGACACCAGAGGTCTAACTGTCACTGCCCAAACACTTGTTCTTGGAGCATTCTTCTGGTAGTTTTCTCTTACTTTCCAGTGATATAAAAATACATTCATTTTTATAAATTCAGCGAATCCAAGGCTATTCGACTCTTTACATAAGGGCCACAATTTTGAAAACAGAGATCGTCACATGGCAGAGGTCCGAACCCCAGCACTGAAAGATCATTTATACAGCACAACTAGCAACGATCTGTGGGCAATTTGCTAGGCCTCCTGAGGTCATGATTTGGCCACCAGTTGAAAAGTCCTGGTCTAATCTATAAAAGTATATAACATCATTCTCTCTACTTCACAAAAATGCAGTCACAACACAACAGTTGTTATCTGCCACAACAGCCTTATATTCTGTTTCTATGCAACACCATGACAGTATCTGCATTGACTACATTTTTTTGTACAAGCTGAAAGGCTTTCTAATTGTTAAAACCGAGGAAGGACAGTGACCTCTCTAGCCTTATTTGTCCACTTCCAACTTCCATTTGGTTTTTTAACTCGGTATGAGGTTTAACCCAAGATATGTGAAGCAAAGAAAAAACCGTGATGAATTAATTACATTCAAAGTGACAATATACAGTGGTAGTGACCATATAGATAGAGAGACAAGATTTCTTTGTATGCTCTGTTCAAATTAAAAAAAGATGGGCCATTAGCTAAGGTTGAAGATTTAATCAAGAGCTGGCATCACAGACTGGTTCCCAGTAACATCAGGAGTAAGACAAGGTTGTGTATTATCACCTTTACTTTTCATAATATTTATGGACAATATTAATAAAATAGACATAACACCAACAGATGTCGATAAACAGGAGGACTTCAATGAGCTGCTCTTTGCCGACGATCAATGCCTATTTCACAGTGATAGTAAACAGCTGCAAGACCACATAAATCTACTACACGACAGTTGCCTCAAGCATCATATGAAGATCAATACTGAAAAGACAGAAGTCATGAGCATAAGTAGAGAGCAACAGACCATCGACATAAAGATTCTAGATCACAGCCTAAAACAAGTGCAAGAATTTAAATACTTGGGAAGTATCTTTACATTCAATGGTAAAATAGACAGAGAGATCGAAGCAAGAATCCAACAAGCCAACAATGTCGCACACCAGCTTGCCCCAATTTTAAAACACCCTGCTGTCCCAGCTGAGATAAAAAGACAAATTATAAATACAATCTTTATACCGACATTAGGTTATCAATGTCAGACTTGGACATTAACAAAAGAACACGCGAGAAGACCAACCACCTGTGAAATAAGATGTTTGAGAATGGCTGCGAATAAAACCAGAAGAAATCGAGTGAGAAACGATGTGATTACATGAACTATTAGAACCATACCCATCGTTAAATTTATTGAGAAGCAAAGAATGAAATGGTTTGGTCACCTAATGAGAATGGAACCAACGATGCCAGCATCAAGAGCATACAACATGAAAATTGAAACACCAAGAGGCAGGGGAAGACCAAGAAGAAGATGGATTGAAGGAGTCAGGGACAACTTGAGACTTCATAACATCACGGCATATGAAGCGACTGAGCGCGCCCTGGCTCGGTTGCCGATCATCTGATAGACTGCGACGCCTAGCGGCACAAGCAGATTTTGACAAAAGAAGAAGAAGAAAGAAGAAGATTTAATCCAGCAGGTACGCGACCTAGACAATTTCAGTCATAGAAAAGAATGGATGAATACACCAGTAGTCATGCATGTCATCTCTAAGGATGCCATCACACTGGGGAGATATTGCAGGGATCAGATTCCTGCAGTCGCAGACACACAGATAAGGGCACTGACAGAGTAGCATTCACACAGAGAAGACATCATCATCTACATAGATGGATCCATGAAGCGCCAATCAAGGTCAGCATTGGCATACACAGCACATAGGATGGGGGAAAACAACAAGGACAGCCGAGCTTACCAGGTTACTATATCAAGCTTGACCATGAAGATAGGCGCTGCTTCTAGAGCACTAACATGGGCAGCAGAGCAAACAGCCACATATGCATTAATTGGACAGACTCCAAAACATGCTTCAGAAAATAGCAACAGGCAGTATTTGTTCCGAATAGGTAGAAAGCATATGTTATGAAAATCACACTCAATCTCCTCTCCCTCAAATGGATCTACACACCCAATCATGCTGGCAAAAAAGTTACTGAGCAAGCGGACCAACTGGCAAGCAATGCACCAACAGGTGTTGGAAGAAGCATGGACAGAGCAGAAATCATTAACGCTGTACGAACTGGGATACTGAATAATGAGGAATCACTGATACTAACATGATTACCTGACATGGAAATAAATTATGGTGAAGAACGTCTATGCCAGAATAGAAGACATTATAATCAACATCTCTAATGGGAACAATCAGAAGTACTTAACAGCTGCTGCTGCATCTGAGGACTAAGCATGCATTGCAGTTTAACAAAGGATACATAGCTAAGCCAGGATATGCTTGACTGCTTGGTATGCTGTGATGTTGTGATGTTGGTATACTGTGCTGCTGTGATGTTGGTATGCTGTGATGTTGGTATACTGTCATGTTGTGATGTTGGTATGCTGTGATGTTGGTATACTGTCATGTTGTGATGATGTGATGTTGGTATGCTGTGATGTTGGTATACTGTCATGTTGTGATGATGTGATGTTGGTATGCTGTGATGGTATACTGTCATGTTGTGATGATGTGATGTTGGTATGCTGTGATGTTGGTATACTGTCATGTTGTGATGATGTGATGTTGGTATACTGTCATGTTGTGATGATGTGATGTTGGTATGTTGTGATGTTGGTATACTGTCATGTTGTGATGCTGATAATCTGTGGGTATGCTGTGGTGATGGCATGCTGTGATGTTTCAGGCTGTCAGAGACTCCTCCAATCTATCTTCTTCTAGGCTTTCCTCTGGCTCTTGGTGTTTCTATTTTCATGTTGTATGCTATCATTGCTGGCATCAATAGTAATTTTTTCCTTAGGTGACCGAACCATTTCAGGCTTTGTTTTTCAATGAATTTATACAGATTATAACAACAAATAAATACAAAAGACCGCACAAATCAAACAATGAACAGTTACAATACTGACGAGTCTTCTCATGACTGTTCAAATGATTAAGAGATTAACTGACCTCAAGTGTGAAAGATCCTCCAGTCCAATGATCTTGTCATGATTGAAAAGGTCAGCTGTGAACAACTGACCACAGTTCACATGACAAGCAAATGATAAAACCACTGGCCAGTCACTTCAGTGACCAGCCAAATCCAGCCTTGCTCCAAAGATTAGTCAGTCAAGTGATGATGCAAAAGCCACACATTTGCTATGCACACATCCTCTAACTGGTCTGATGACCAGCCGCTTGACAACTTCCTTGAAGAAAACTGCTCTCATGGACAACTGCAGATCGAAGGATGAATCAAGCTGAAATGACCACACATTTTGGTGACCATTCAGCCAGATGAATCAAGCTGAAATGACCACACATTTTGGTGACCATTCAGCCAGATGAATTAAGCTGAAATGACCACACATTTTGGTGACCATTCAGCCAATCAGCATTCCAGGATTCACAGAACAGCTCCCTTGTATACACGTGGCCAGCCAATCGACTGACCTGAAGATCCTCACAAACTGACCGCTTCCCAGTGGTCAACTACTGAAACCACCAGTGTCCCTTCTCCAGAGAAGGGTGAAGACAAACGAAGGAGTCCTCACAGGACATAACTCACCACTTGTTGGTTGACTAAATGTGCGATGAACGCTGTTGAGGATAGGCACAGCGCTTTGTCATTTCTTTTATAGCCTCGGCGGAACATCAGGATCAGACGTCGGAGGATCAATTCTCCATTTTGTGGAAACTGAGAAATAAGTACAGATTTTATGCTTTACGGTTGATTAATGTTAAAATGTTACGCAAACAATGACAAAACAAACAAAAGTCAATAAAAATTGATCTCAATGGACATTCAGTCAATTTGGCATTATAATCACGCCTGTCCACAACCTGCTGTATTGTGTACTGTCAACCATTTGGCATTTTAATCAAGCTTGTCCACACCCTGCTGTATCGTGTACTGTCAACCATTTGGCATTTTAATCAAGCTTGTCCACACCCTGCTGTATCGTGTACTGTCAACCATTTGGCATTTTAATCAAGCTTGTCCACACCCTGCTGTATTGTGTACTGTCAACCATTTGGCATTTTAATCAAGCCTATCCACACCCTGCTGTATCGTGTACTGTCAACCATTTCTGATACATACATTCTTCCAAACTGTACTAGCCCGCATCTCCTTTCTTGAACTCCCTCTGCCTCTCTTCCCCTCTGTCACAACATACTCCAGTTTTCCCCTCTGTCACAACACACTACAGTTTCCCCCTTCTCACCAAATAATGTAGACCATATTAGATTAACATTGTCTTAAATGCAGTTATAATTGTGCCCTTTTATTTTCTTTGAACTGATTGCTCTGAAAAGTCTGTCAATGAACATCATTTGTGAGTTGTTTTTTTAGTATCCAGAAACCATGAGTTGTTAACCCTTTGGCTCGGTACTATGGATATCACAACCCTTCGGCCTTAATTCCATGAAAAATACTGTAAATCTGGGAGAAATGTTTCTGCCTACCCCCGGGCGTGAACCAGGACCACAAGAAGTTCATAACGCAGTCGCCGTGAAGTCCAGTTTAACCAACTACGCTAGCGAACCGGGCATTTGTAAGTTTAAATTTGTAGGGGTAACCCAAGCTATATTTTCTAGCTGTAGAGATCTGACTCACCAAATGACTACAAGGACGTTGATACTGTCAAAGTCTGTCCTCAAATAGAGTGAGTTCTGACCAAAATAACTGTCTCTGTTGTGCATATGTTGGATAAACTTACAGCAATTTTAAACTGTTATTTAACCAGTCCCCCAGTTACACATTCCAGTGAACCACAAAAGACAGCACAAATGTTGAATGCACTCAAAAACAAATGTCTCAATAAACTGATGAATATTAAGTAGTAGGAATTTGAGAAAAGCAAAGAAATAACATACATGCCTGGACAACCGCTGTATCGACAGTTACAAGACAAAAGAATATGGCGATATATTGGGCAAATTCCGAGGTTAAAAGCAAACAGAGAATCACCATTAAATGAGAAAGAAAAAATCAACTGAGGAGATGAGTATGTCTAAAGTAAACCTGAAGTTGAACACTGACGAGAAAGGCCAAAGATGCTGAACCAGATTCTGTTCATATAACATAAATGCACAGGAGAGAATGGAATAAAGACATAGACTTTGAGCTCTATGTGACGTATTTAAATAAATTTAAAAATAAAAACAAAAATTACAGCCGTTATTTATCACTTTTGCGGTGTAGGCAGGTGGCGATGGGGATTTGTAAGCCAGAGGATTTAGGGCCACAAAGCCAGTGCTGCCGCCATGGACTGTAAAGGTTCGGTTTTTATTGTTGCCCAGAAAAACCTATAACCTTAGAGGATTTGAACCCGGGTCTCCAGCGTGATAGCCCAGCTTTCTTCCTAACCATTCAGCCTGCCACTTTTCCTTATATGATGTATAAAGGCACAAAGAGATAAGGAAGACGACAGTAAGTCATGCATATTTTCTAGCTGCACTATGTTAGTCTTTTTCTTCATTGCGCTCACCAGCTGTAAACTCCGGCAAAACACGTTGATCGTTTATCCACTTCTGGACTTGTCATGTTCAAGAACTTGAGTTCCACGTGCACATCCGTTTTGCAGATCTGGTTTATTTGAATCTCAGGCAGATGCAGAATGGGGCCCAGAACCCACACAGTGACACATTAAGTGTTAAAAAAAAAAGGTCAAACATCTCACCTTGGTATTGATGATAGCCACTAGTGCAGCATAGACGTGAGTAAATGTTGGAGATGCTGCTTGTGCCTGGATGACAGACCGGGCCAGCAGACCGCTACATGGGGGTACAGAATACTTTTATTTACAAGAAAATGTTTTAAAAAAAACTTTGCGGCAACACAGCTACATTACTAAAACATTGTGTGCTTAGCTTATTTATGGAGAGTTAGAACTTAGGTTTGGTTACCTTCAAAACCTCTTTGTACTTTGTTGGCACTCTGTTACACTATTTAAATATTTCCTATAAAACTTGCATCAATAGTTTTTTAAAAAAATGGTTTTTCCATATCACTGGCGCTACTATGCACAAAGTGACTGGCAAAAGTCACCTGAGTGCTAAATCTTTGCTTCGAGAAAATCTCGGAATATAATGTAGTTGTGTGAAAAGTAAGAATTCATTTTGAATTCAAATAACAGCCAGGAAAAAACACTTAGAATAAAATCACCAAAACAGCACTCAGGTGACTCTTGCATAATGCCAACGAATCATGAGACATAAAAGAAAACTACTAGTAAAACTGGGCAACTCCCAAAGTGCAGCGGCCAAACGATCATAAGGTCGTGGGTTTAGGTTCTGATGAAGCCTGACTATTTTCAAAAACGACCTTGGCTCCCAGGTCAACCTAGCTTTGAGTGGGTATCAGGAAGAGTTCTGGGAAGTAAAGACAGCCAACATCACCCACTGAGTGTCTATAAAACATAGGTCTTGCCCTATATGCCCAACACACCTGAAGGCATGGAGAAGGGTCCTTTTTCAAAAGTAAACCTGGACATTTAAAAAAAAAATGAAATGGTTTTTCGCTTCTCTGAAACATGAACACATTTTGGCAACAAAAACTGTTTTATTGAAAAGATTCAGTTGGTGAATGTAACAGTAACAAGTCAAAGACTATTTTCACCCAGTAAAGTGTTCAAATCAAGACCATCTTCAATGCACATGAGGTATACCCATAAGTGCTGTGATGTTCCCCTCAGCATGCCTGTAACATGAGAAAGTGTATGAGTGGAGTAGGAAGTTTCAAAACTGACTCTGGTGTCTTTATTCAGTGTGCCTGACCAGATTGTGAACAGTCTGTTACAAAAGATACACCATTTTGAAACTTCCTACTACACTCACACACTTGCTGGACTGACAGGCCTGAACCACCATACCGGACCTTCGTTTGCCGATGAAAAAAATGGATCACACACTGCTGCTCCTCTTTGGTGCATGTCAAAAGTGGGGTGACCATCTTTTAACTGCCAGGACATCACCATGTTCGCCTGCACCATGATGTTATGTGCTTAACACTCTTGACATCCTTAATAACAATACTGACAAGTTACAAGACAATTGAATGGTTATTGTAATTTCTATAGTTTTTTTGGTTTTCATCCCTCCTTGGCACATGTAAAAAGTGGGATGACCATCTTTAAACCATCAGGACATCACTGTGTTCGCCTGCACCATGATGATATGTGCTTAACACTCTTGACACCCTTAACAACAATACTGACAAGTTACAAGACAATTGAATGGTTATTGTAATTTCTATCTTTTTATGGTCTTATATTCCACAACCCCCCCCCCCCCCTCCTCAATTAGACTGCTAACATCAGAAGCGTAACTCTTCGCTGGCTGCTGAAGATGGTGATGTCATGCTTAAAGGAATATCCTGACTGTGGTATCAGTCCTTAACCAAACTCAACTGAATTAGTTCCTCCCTGCCATCAACTTGTTTGTCTTTAGACAAACTCTTTACTAAAGCATGGGAAAGTGGTATGATGCATCTTCCCACCTCAATCAGCCTTCACTGGTAGCAAACAATACATGTGACCCTGGATGTTACAAACCCTACATTTATATCACTTATGATCTCCAATAATACAACTGTAAACTATGTTCAGGATTTCACATTTACATTTTTATGCCTTGCTGTTTTTCATTCCTTTAAAACAAAATCATACTTTTAGAGGTTTGACTATTTTTAAAGGTCATTACAACCTTGGACGGCCAGAGTAACTAACAACAATTGTTTGAAAGAAGCTAATGAAAGTAGATCTCTATATACAACAATAAAAAGGAGAACCCTGTTCTTTGGCCACGTAAGGAGAAGAGAAGCAGTGGAGAACACAGTGACAACTGGAAAGATCAATGGAAAGAGTGGTAGAGGCAGACTAAGAGAGATGATGCTGGATGGGCTAAAACAATGGCATGGAGGGATATCATTAGCTGTTCCGGGCAACCAGGGGATCGTGATCTGTGGAGACGCATGAGCGCCTATGCTAGAGCCTATGATGATGATTGCAACCGCTTTATATCTTTAAAAAATTATATAAATAGTGCAACACATAAACTTATTTAAACAACACATTCACAAAATGAATATGAGAAAACACAGGCACATATCTAATAGGACAAAGCAAAGAAAAATTAGCTGGGCTATATTTGTGTACAGACAGACTTACCGTCCTCGAACAATGTTCTCCTGAAAGAGTTCTTTAATGATGTTGATAATATTTGAAGTGTTGACTTTGTTGATGAGACCGTTGATGCTCTTTTTTAAAGCTTCCCATGACATTCTCTGGTAAGCAGCACTGCGGAGACAAATTATGGAATGAAGATGTTTTGAATGATAAAAAAGCCTACTTGGAAAGACATGGGAAAGTTAAAAAAAACTAAACTTTAAAATGAATCAAAATAAAAAAACTACTCATGGTATAATACTGTAAAAAAAAAAACCCAGAGAAATATACTGTTGAATGTCAAATGTGACATTCTACCAAAGGATTGGAGTAATCAGAGACAAGTCAAAGTACAAACCTGTATCATACTTCACCTGCTCAAAGTGGATTTGTGGTATGGCAACAGTCTTGAAAAGTACCAGGTCTGAATCCAAATGAGACAGAGAAGTTCCACAGACCCTCAAGCCAACTCCTGCTAAGCTCTGGACAATGGATCAGCTGCCCAAACCTCTTGGATAAGAACAATGTGTACATGCTCATCTCTCCACAGTTGAAAACTGCACAGAACAGATCAGACACTGCCCTGTCTGTCTCCAAATAAATTATTTGTAGCATGCAAGGAACCGAGAGCCACAGCAGTGTAGTGGCAAGATGCTCACCTGCCAGCCTCAAGGTCCGGCACCAGGGCAGCTTTATTTTCAAAACTGACCTTGGCTCTCAGGTTGACTCAGCCTGAACACAGGGCACCAGGCAGTGTCCAGGTAAGCAAAGCAACTGGTGTGATGTTGACCACACCACCCAGGAAGTGCTGACGGACATACAAAAAATATGAATCTAGTTTCATACACCCCCTCGCGCCACTGGGGGGGGGGGGGGGGGGGGGGGGGGGCGCCTTGTATTTTACACCAGGGTTTTGGTATAGACACACTGGGGTCCTCTTTGTGGATGTCATGTTCAGATTCTCTAGTGTGATCTGAAGGACACTGGTACACAACTGAGCAGTCAGCCCCTCTTCTCCTTGAAGTGTTAAGAGTGGTCTGTGCTCCTAAGAGATGTGGTGGCTATAGAGTAACTACTGGCAGTCAGAATTGTTAAAAAGGCTCAGACTACATACTGATTCAACAAAACTAGGCCTAGAAAGGCAAATCCCGAACCAATGTTTACCGTTCACTTAAAGATCATTTTTATTTCAGGTCTGGCACACCCACAGGTTCTCAACTTCTTCTAAGCATGTTTCTTAGTGTGTTTATGCTGATAAACCTCACTCTGCGCTGATTATCTATATCCTTATGCTTGGGGGAAAGGCAAGACGGACAGTCAACCAGACTACGACTGGCACCATTAGTACCGGAACTCTGTGCTGGCTGCTGAGGATGGGGCCGAAGCGAGCATAGGAATGCCAGAGTACTGTGATGTCAATTCTTAACTCAACTCACCCTTTATGTCTGAGGTCTTCAGTTGGCGTTGAAAGATTTTTGTAAGGATCTGGAGAAGATCAGGCATACCTATATGTGCCTTGATCCCGCCCCAAAGGAGAAGATCAAGCATACCTATATGTGCTCTGATCCCGCTCCAAAGGAGAAGATCATGCATACCTATATGTGCTCTGATCCCGCCCGAAATCCTAAACAAATGCCTGTCTAGTCCTAAAGCACCAGGCTTCAGGGTTAATAAAACCGTTTACACTTCATGTCATTTTACGATGACACTGTTTTATAGACACCCTAAAAGAAACCACTTAAAAATTAACGGGTGAGCATACTATATGTTATAACAATAAACAATGTTTCCAGAAACATGCTTTCTGTGTGCTAAATAAAAATGAAGCAAAAATGTCACCCACCTCGTCTTGTCCGTTATTAACTCTTGCATCATTCGCAATTTTGCAGGGGGAATGTAAGCACCTCCAGTTTTGGTTGTGATATCAAAGGCTTCCATTGATTTTTTAGCGGGCTCCTCTGTGGTCGCGGCAGGATTGTTGCTGTCAGCTTTTGTAGATTTCGTGCTGCAAGTAAATAAAACTTAAATAAACTACGCAACATGTTTTGATGTATAAGATATGCGTAGCATATGATGTGCGTTTGATAAACAAAATTCACAGGACAATAAATGTATAAGAAACTGTTACAGAAACTGTAAATTTAGCCTGCAGTAGTAAAACTCATCACATGACTAAAGAATGTAGATTGTCTCTCTCTGGTGTGGGCAATCATTTCTTTTTGTGAGCCAGTTTCTTTCAAAAAGTCTTCATTGCTCCTTTTATCTGTCCACAATATTTTGATCATTCCTTTATAACACATCTTCGCAGCTTCCAAATATTTTTTCACTCATCTTTCACCTGTCCATGATTCACCTCTGCATTTAAAGATAGGATTTATATAGCTTTTAAGAATACTCTTTCTTGTCTCAACTGACAACATGCGATGAGAAGGAGAAAACGAGGACATCGTGATGGTAAGAAAGTTGGAGAGAGGAGGTGAGGCAGAGGGAGACCGAGAGAACAGAAGCTGGACAGTTTGACATCATGGAATGGAGGATCATCTGTATCAGACATGACTACCAACAATACCAAATGGTTTGGAGTTTTAAGAAGTAGGACTCACAACTGAAGAAAGTACTGAAGAGTTGTTCTTGAGTCTTTTTCATTTTATCAATGCGCAGGAGGACTTATTTATGCTCATCTCTAGGATTCAACTACAGCCCCCCAACTCCCCCCTTTTTTTAGTCTTGTTTCAGGACATAAGTTTTGCATGCATAAAAACTTTAGATCTGGCTTATTTATATGCAGACTGCTGCTGGTTCCTCATCTCAGGCAGATGCACTCAGGCTCTGAAGGCATGTAACGATTGTTGTTTGTCGCCCTGAGAAGGGCAACTGGTACACTGTGTTGTGACCTACAGCTAGGCTGTGATATTCCACCCTTCCACCCCCTCCAATTTTCGGCCTAACATATTATTTGCAGCAAATATATAATTATCTAACTATCACAACATGATTGTTTGGGGTGGGGAAGGGAGCTGTAGATCTATTCTCAATCTATCCAATAGGGCCCTGGAAATGAAATGGAAAAATTCATGATAATGAATAAGTATTTCTTACTATCATGTCCCACAAACATAACACTGACCTTGATTCCTTTTCTTCACGACCATTCTTTTCTTGTTGCTTATCACGTGTAGCATCAGAGGTTTTGGAGCTTCTATCCTTCCTTCTGTCATCTTTACTTTCTTTCTCCTGATTATCATCACGTGGTTTTCCTCGACTGTCCCCTTTATTTCTGCTGTATTCACTTTCTTTGTCTTTCCCTCTGGTGTCTTCCCTTCTTCTGTCGTCTTTCTCTCGTCTGCGGCTATCATCTCTGCCTTTACTCCTATCATCTTCTCTTATTCTGTTGTCTGTCCGTCCCCTCCCTCTATCATTATCCTTTTCTCTTTTCCAGCTGTCGTCTTTCCGTCTAGTCTCCTCCTGTTGTCTGCCATTGTCTGATTCGTACCTGTCTACAGATCTATTACGCTTCCTCCCCGACGCCTGCTTGACCACAGAAACAGAACTGCCCACCCTCTGTTTACTCTGGATCTGACTTCGGACACCTCCCTCTTTGTCAGAATGATCCTCATCATCATCATCGCTTTCACTCTCTAGAACTGGTCTCTGTCTCTTGCTGTTATCTTCTCCCTCAACAACTTGATCAGCATCAAAACTGTCCGCAGTCGGCACAGCTGTATCCACATCAGCTGCCCCTCTGGTTAACACATCAACTGTTCTCTTCTCTGATCTGCCAGCTCTAGCAGGCTTTTGAGAAGATGTTTCTACACTTTCTTTAGTCTTCTGGGGCGAATTTTGTGAAGTCGGAGTTGCATCTTGAAAAGTAGAAGATTTCTTTGAGAGTTTGTCTTTTTTAAATTCAGCAGCTTCTGACTGTCCTTCTTCGCTGCTTATGTCAGAGACATATTCGCTGAAATTCATAAAAGACAACAAGTGTAAATATTTTACGATCCTTCTTACAATGAAATTTGTTGTGAAATAACTGTACATACAAATTTAACCCAAATTAATTAGACTAGAATTTCTTCTCAAACAACATTCAAAAACAAAAAAACTATTCTACAACAGCTTGCCAGGTAGCCTGATGGTCAGAAGTTATTTTTCTGTGTTTGCACTTAAAAGGGTAGCTGGCAGTTTGTGTTGCTTACAGCTAGGACTTGATCTGCATCTTTCAACTCAACATACATGATTGAAACAAACTCCCTTTATGACATGCTTGTTAGTTGGACGGTGGGTCTACCACCCCCCCCCCCCTTTCCCAAACAGGGCCCCAGAAACCTAACATGGAGGTCACAGGTCGAAATCCCCCACTGAGGAAGACTGTTAAAATATTCTGCTAAATATGCGAAAGTGGAATGAAAAGTGGTTTGGGTTCACTCTCCCAGAAGTGGCAGAACATTTTCTCTGGGGTTGACCCAGCTTCATAAAACTAGATGCAAAGGATGCAGGCAATGGATAGAGGATGAAAAAGTGACAGCAGTGCAAGCGCTGATCAATGAACACTCGCGCATAGGTGATATACCATTATATACACACAGGTGGGTCTGTAGTCAGGGGTTTTATTGCAAATCTCAATAGACACCTTGAAATCAGAGCCCTGTGTATACTGTCATGCCACCAAGTATGAGAATGGAGGTGGAGGTAGTAAATACAGCTCCTATGTCTTCAGAGCAACATAGTCTAACATTTAACTGTAACGGACCCACAGCGCACGCTTCAGAAAAATTGAAACTGGCATCTTATGCACAGAGTGACCCAGATTAGGAGCTGATCATGGATTTTCTGTCCAGGATATTTGGGTGTTAATGAGCAGGCTGACAGACTGGCTGCTCCTGCTCCTCTGGGAGGTGTTACTACAGGATAAAGCGGACATGGTGATAGATCCATGGGATGAAATGGACAGTGCATTATAACAAACAAAGAATCCATATACTGAAAGATTAATACAGGGGGGGGGGGGGTGGGGGTTTAAAGGTTCTGTAAGATATAACTGCTGAGGTTGCAACTGCTAGTACTATTAGTATATAGACACTGTTGGCTACCGAGGAAGGAAAAGCAACATCTGTGTAATGTCCCACGGGCAATGATGATAATTCTTGATTCATTCCTTCTGGTGCTAGATAATTTCTAAAGCTAGGAAGGAAAGAGGATGGTACCAGGCCACAGCAACTCATATAACATGGCCTAAAATGTGTGAAGGCCCAAAACTTCCCATCCCAACAACACTAAATTTTAGAATAAGAAGCAAGAATATGAAGCCTCATTCTACATTAGATTTTATAACAAAATTCAACATCGAGTGAATCTTCTGCTTTGACAGTCAGCCTCAACAGGGTGACTGGCCGGCACATGGTAAACAGCTAGGGAAATCAGGGGTGTTTCCTCTTAACTGGGAGCACATCTTCCTGAAGGGTGAGGAACTAACAGTCTGCAAATAAGCCAGATCTGTAAAACAGATGTGCACACAAAAACTAAGTTGTGGAACCAGACACCTAAGTCTACAAGTGGACGAATAAACAGAAACTCTAAATGGAAGCAGAACATTCATAGAATAACATGCACTAAGAAGATCCAAAATTACTGACACCATAAATTATCTGAATGTCAAGGAAATTTTGCCCATAATCAACATTTGATCCTGCAAGCTGGGGTATTTTGATCACATTAAACATGGAGAGAACAGTGACTTAGGATACAGTTTCCGGAAAACAATGCAGAAGCAGACCTCTGCGAAGCTGGACACAAGACACTGAAGATGCACACAGGGCTGGGATTGGTCAGAGAAAGAAAGACTTTCAAGTGTGTCATGATGAGAGTGATGTTCTGTAAAGGACCTAAGTGATCAAGATCATATAAGATGGTAAACCACGACTGCACTCCTAGTATCACAGCACAAGACGATGAAATCTTACAGCTTACCTGATAGCTTTAAGTGGCATAGCAGGTGGCTTGTCCTCATTCTCATTATCTTCAGAGATTTCTCCTTCCTCTTTCTCTTCATTGCTATCATCATCTCTGCTTTCATTAATGATGTCCTTCTCCTGGGTGTCGTTCTGCTCTTTCTCTGCTGTGTCTTTATTTTCATCTTCTATTTCTTGATGCTCGCTTAACAGTTCCTTCTTAATATCTTCAGCTTCATGGCTGTCTTCCTCTTCTGGCTCTTTGGTTTCACCGTCAGAAGTATCAGAACCAGCATCCCTGTTGTCGGGGCTCCTTCTTCTTTCAACAGTGTCTTTCTGAGTGTTGTCAGTCTCTTCTACAATAGTAACTACCCTCTCTTCAGACTGCTGAGGACGTTCAACAGGTTTGTCCACATCTTCCTGCTGAATCTGGACATTCACAGACTCCTTGGCAGCTTTCAGTCGTTTATAATTTCTGTTGCTGTCGTCTGAATCACTATCAGAGTCGGAGGAAGATCTCTGATGCTCCTCACTGTCAGAAGAGGATGAGGATGAAGAGCTCTCTTTTCTTTTCTTCTCTCTCACTGAATCTTTTTCTACTTGCTTTATCTTTGTTTCTGATTCTACTGCTATTTCACTTTTGTGAGATCTGTCATCTGTTGGTATGTCTGTAGACTGTTGAATTTTTGAGTTTTCTTTTTCATTTGAATCCTTAGTGCTTGATTTTTTAGTCTTTTCATCTTCATTTGAATCCTTAGTGCTTGATTTTTTAGTCTTTTCATCTTCATTTCTTTCTTTCCTATTGCCAACATTCACAGGTTGATCTTTCCTTCCAATATCTGTTTTTTTACTGACATAAGTCTCCTTCTCCCTTGATCCTTTACTACTGCTGCCTTTATCTTTGGAGTATGATGAGCTTTTTGCATCCCCGGCCCTCTTGTTTTTCTCAGTCTCCCGATCTCTGGATCTCTGTCTATGTTCTGTCCTATCTCTGTCATCTCCAGCTTTTCTATGATCTGTGTCTCTGTTCCTTCTATCGCTATAGTCCTGCCTGTCCTTCTCTCTTCTCCTAGAGTCACTCCTATTGTCAGCCCTGCGACTTTCCTGGGCTGGTGAACGCCGGCGGTAGCTATCAGAAGACTTGTACTTGCTGGTTGAAGTCTGTTTTCTCCCATCGCTGTCATCTCTGTGGGGCCTGTCATCTCTTTGGGGTCTGCCATCTCTGCTGTAACTCACAACTCTTGAAGGAGAAGACTTGAGTTTGTGGTCTTTACGTGCTCTCTTGTGATCTGGCCTCTTAGAGGAATCTGATGAATCTGGACACAGTTTAGAAACATATAGAAGTTAGTTTTGTAACTCTTACAGGATGTTGCAGAACCAACACCAGCATTTTTGTGGTTGTCTCTGATTTTTCTAGGCAATCTTACATCAAGTAGTTTGCCTCTGCTTTCTGAATGGGCTGCTGCTGGCGGAACACATCACTTTACTCAACATGACCGAAGTCATTCATCGTGACATCACATCACTCGTTGTGACCACATCACTTCTCTTGACCCACATCATACGTCATGACCAAACCATGCATCATGACCCACATCACTGATCAACTGCTGGCTGGTCTACACAAATATTTTGCTAGGATCATATGCAAAAATATGCTTTGAGGTGTAGAAACAGATTCTTTGATGGCTGTTTTTAAGCAAGGGGATCAAGTGTGAATTATCAGAAAGAGATCCCTCTACTGGGGTAATTATACTAAGGGGATCAAGTATGAATTAATAAAAATAGACACCTCTACAAAGAGTAATTATACTTAGGGGATCAAGTACAAATTTAAAAAAAAAAAAACAGATCTCTTTAATGAGAGTATTTATACTAGGAGATCAAACATGAATTATTACAAATATATCATCCCTTTATTGAATTTATTTTAAAAAAAAGGAGCAAGTATAAATTAATACAAAAGGATGCCTTTACAGAGAGTATTTATACAAAGGGATCAAGTGTGAATCAAAAGAAACATCCCTTTACTGTAAGTATGGTTCTATCCCAATAATTCACCACAAATGATGTCACAGACAAGTCCAATATTTTCTAGGGTGGTAACAGCTGGTGTCCCCGCTTTCTGCGTGTCTCCCAAGGTTTTGGTGAAAAAGCAGGTTTTCTCCGCTTCCTGTGTCTTCAAGGGCGCTGCCAAGGTTTTGGTGAAAAAAGTGGGTTTTTTCCGCTTCCTGTGCCTCCCAAAGTTTTGGTGAAAAAGCGGGTTTTCTCCGCTTCCTGTGTCTTCAAGGGCGCTGCCAAGGTTTTGGTGAAAAAAGTGAGTTTTTATCCGCTTCCTGTGTCTTCCAAGGTTTTGGTGAAAAAGCGGGTTTTCTCCGCTTCCTGTGTCTTCCAAGGTTTTGGTGAAAAAAGTGGGTTTTCTCAGCTTCCTGTGTCTTCCAAGGCGTTGCCAAGGTTTTGGTGCACTTCTGTTGACGCGTTTCTTCTTCCATCGGTCTCTCTCCAGCAACCTGTGTTCAGTCCTAATCTTCATGAATTTCCTGGAATAATCGAAGGACGCAGTTTTTGTAGGTGTTTTCTTGGGGGTTTGTGTGCTGAGGAGGAGGACCTAGGCTGCATACAGTCATGTGACCTAGGCTGAACTCTCTTGTGGGACACAGGTGTGTCAACAGGCAATTTATCCCCGACTGCACATAGAGTTCACAAAAACAAAACAAAAAAACTTGGGTATCAGCTGCCGGCGATATCAGGTGATCAATATTCCACAATGTGAGTGCTTTTAACAACCCCAAAACAGCTACAACTAACCCCAAACCACCTACGTCCCATGAGAGAGTGCAGCCTAGGTTCCATGACTGTATGCAGCCCAGCTCATCCTCCCCAGAAGAAAAGAAAAACCGACAAAAACCTCATCCCCCCGATTGCACCAACACACAGAGCAATGCACACCAAAAAACAGCACAAGAAGCACACAAAACTGAAAACGGCACAGCGCAAAACTGCACGGCAAATGAAATGCCAACTTACTAACTATACGTTTTATTTACCACCCCCTGAAATATCAGACTGCCCGTGACCTGTGGATTTCCCGTGTTTGGGGTGAATTACTGGGATAGAACCCGAAAGTACTTATACAAAGGGAACAAGTGTGAATCAATAGATACAGATCCTCTTAATGAAAATAATTATACTAAGAGATTAAAAGTGAATCAGTAGAAACAGACCCCTTTACTGAGCAAGGGGATCAATACATATCATACCAGTTTTAAAAGTTAAAGCTATGATTTGTAAGTTTCAGTCATGGCGATCAATCCAATGAATTTCCACAGTAAGTACACATCACAAAACTGCCCACATGTCGGAGGGCGTGAGATTTTGTGTCGGCTCCCATTCATGCCATGGCCTTTTCCATGGGCTGTTTTAGGGGTGCTAGGATATCCATTGCTTGTAAGGTAGAATCTAGATAAAAAATGTTTCGAACCGATAACATCACACACAATCTTACCATCTTCAGAAGAGGAAGAGCTGCTATTTTCATCACTGCTGTTATCTGGTCTTCTGTAAATTGTAAGGGACACATTTCATGAAGCACCTTTTACAAATATAAAACCGCACTAACAGATAGAAAGATGTTTTGTGTGTAGAAAAACAATGAGGAAAGGCAGCCATATATCATCTATTTAAATGAAGAGCAAAACAGGGAAATAATCTGGGATATTAATTGTTTTTTTAAAAAAAAGTGCTCTTCTATTTTGCATCTTTAACCCTCTAAGCCCTTTAGGTGTCCCTCTGCAGGTGTAACCCTCTCAAACTTAGCCTTATTTTTCAAGCTGGTGACTTCAAGTGTGTGTGGGTTTATTTTGATAACTCGATACAATCTTTTCACTGTTTTATTGGTCTGCTTCATCATCGTGGTCTACTCATAGCTCAGATCTACTAATTTAGCTTCTTTTTGTTGTTGTTGACAGCAGTCAGCTGAAACTTTCTACGCCGCTTTGCCTATTATCAGTTTTAAAATACCCCCGTGCCAATGCCCTTAGTAAAACAACAAGTGTCGACGTACCCCAGATCAAACTGTATCTGCCAATTTAAATGTAGCTGTGAAGCTGCCTAAGTGAGCAGAACTGATCGACGCCTGGAGAAACGAGTCACTGAGCACATTACAGTATCATGGTATGGGTGGAAAAAGCCATGCAAAATAATATTCAAAATGAGAATATACTGGTCGCAAAGATCCCCCCCCCCCCCTCCCTATAGCAAGCTATCTTCTAAAATATGGACATGTGGTAACTATGGACACATTTCAAATCAATTATACATCAACCAATGGCAGAAAACTTCGATTTCTTGAAGCTTCTGCAATTCGTCACCTGCACCCGGAACTCTGTGTACAGAAAGAGATGTTTCAGTCTTTACGGCTGCCCTGGTAAAAACAGGCAGTCAGGTTTGATCTTTAGTTATAAAGGATTCACTTATCTGCTTCATTTATGTAGTTGTTACTGTAGTATGCACCTGACTAGATACAGTGAAATATGCCTGGCAATAAATTGTGCAATCCATGGATTGTTTGTGTCTTCTTTGTTCAAATTGTTTGTTTGCTGTTGTTGTTGCATGCAGCGGGTTCACTTCTACCTCAGGTAGATGCGCTCCGACTTCAAAGAAAGCCGACAGTTAATCGACTCTAAACTAACGACGAGGATACCGAAACGCTAACTGGGGAGTAGTAGTAGTAGTATGACAGGAACCTACGACACATATCATAGGATCATTCATGGTGGTTTTTTAAATATTTTTTTAGGTGGCAATGTAAACATTACAACGTGTGGAAAAGGCCTTAGCCTTATGAGTTACTACTTTATCAGAACTGTATCTTTATGAATAATTTAATATATGTGTTCACAACTGCCATATCCTACCATTAAGACCCAATTAACTGTTGACAAATGAACGAAACAGCGCAAAATGGTTTTATCAACCAATGAAGGTGGATATATCGAAGACTGGTGATTGTGCCTCAATGTCACTAAAGCAGGCTTAATCTACAAACACGGCTATCTGTTACTTCAGCGCGCTGTAATATTGTTACCGAAACGTGTAATTTAATTAAGCACAAAAGATAATGTTTAATTATACAAAAACGCACCTTCGTGGCATGTTATTGATAAAATCTTATTATTCGGCGTAAACTCTTTCCTTGAACGTCGCCACTGCGATGACGGGTGGTCCAGGTTTAGACAGGAAGTGCAGTCAACGGATCAGCATCATCATCATGTAGCAGGTCCTTTGCAGAACGTCGCTCTCATCACAGTCTGCCTAAAAGAAACCCGGTCTCTCGCCAGCTCTCCCGCCTTATGTGCTTTCATACTCAAGGAGTCACTTAAAACATGTGCCCATCTTCGTGTTGGTAGGTCACAGCCCCTCCTTCCTGGTACCATACCTTCTGCTTTTTTTTCCAATCCGTCGTGGCGCTTGATATGACGAAAATATTTCAGCTTCTGAGACAGTCAACGAATATTTACCAGTAATCATCGTCGTTATCATCATCATTATCGTGTTGGGTCATTATATGTCACATAGGGCTGGTCGTCTATTGTGTCATCCTTCACTGATCTGGACTTAACGTTGTTTTGTAACCTTCAGGGGCCCTAATATAACTGTATGGTTGAACGGGGTTCCCCGATACTTGTATCCATAAGATTCTCACCCTTTAGATGTTTATCCTGCGGGTTGCAAACCCAAAGGGGACAAACTGCGAGCAAGCCGTCTATTCCTCCTTTCCGTTCTATCCTCTGCAACCTCTTCCATATCATTGACAGAATCCAGTCCAGCACCTTTGGCCTCTCTCACCACTGTTCGTTTGAGGTTTTTTTTTTGGGGGGGGGGGGTGGTGGGGGGACGTTCTTGCTTCCCCAATTCCTTTATTTACCAGAGTGTCAGCTGACAGGATAGTAAGACTGTCTTCATGCATGAAGCAATGTTTTTCAACTCATGGGTTGCAGCCCAATAGTGGACAGCAGAAAAGTCCAGGTAGGCCTCCAAAAATGTCTGCCCAGTCATGTAACGGGGTCGGGTAAGTAGTTCTTTCTTGTCCTTTATTGCTGTCTGTAGGATTAACACCTCAAAGATGAGAATCAAACAGGTACAAGTGATTGTATTATTATTATTATTATTATTATTATTATTATTATTATTATTATTATTATTATTATTATTATTATTATTAGTACTATTATTATTCCTCTTCTTCTTCGCGTTCCCCGGCTGTAAACTATGGCGGAACATTATGGTTGTTCGTCCACCTCTAGACGTTAGCCTTGTTCCAGAAACTGAACTTCCGTTTTACATTTCCGGCTTACTGGTATGTAGACTGTTGGTTTGTTGGTTCTTTGTCTCTTAGGCAAAAAGACTACGATTTAGGGATTGTTCTCTTCTTTGATATTATCATTACTTCTGTTTTTCTGTTATTCAAGCCGAGGACTGTTTTATCTCTTTCTACCACTATAGTATATATTTTTTTTAAGTTATCCTTTATAGGGTCTTTTCTCTACAATACCTACATTGTAATAAGCATTGTTAAAGTTGAGGAAAAGTCGTGATTCCCTGTTCAGTTAATTAGTTTAAAATAAACGTTACGTTGAGAATTCGCTGTTTAAAATTTCATTTAGTAAAATTAATGCATAATAATGCATAATAAAACTTCGAAATTGTGCTCTTTAACTTTTTATTAGTTTGAACAAAGAAGACATAAACAATAGATTGCACAATTTATTGCCTGGCATATTTCGCTGTATCTCGTCAGGTGCATACTACAGATACATGATGACAAGCAATAAATTGTGCAATCTTGTGTTTGTGTCTTCTTTGTTCAAATTTATTAGGTGTATGTCAATGTGTCAGTGTAGCTAAGTCGCCCTAGTACCTAATTTTCTTTTGCAAATCATATGTTGATTTTTCTGTTAATTCTTCTATCAAAGATGAAAACTAACTCTAAATATAAAATTTCACTTTCTTGTTTTATTTTCGGTTGCCTGCCTATCACCATAATCTATCTTTTTAATGTCCATTTTCATAAACATATATCGCACGTATTACTACTGACTTGATTGCGTGTTCTGGAAAGCCTTTCCTTTTGTGTGTGTGTGTGTGGATAACCTCCCCTTGTATTCCACGTCCAAATAAGTAAAGTAAAGTAAAGGACCCTTTTCCACGCCTTTAGGCGTATAGGGCATATAGGGCTAGACCTATATTTTTATAGACCAATCGGCACAAGATGGGTGATGTGGTCAGCATCCCACCGGCCGCCTTTACTTCCCGGGACTGCACCCGGTACCCACTCAAGGCCCCACGTCCAAATGGTGGGGGAAAACAAGTTTTTACCAACTGTCTGTCCAGAAGCATGTTGTAATTGGGAGCTTCCTTTGAAATGCATCTGCCTGAGAAGCAAGGAACCAAGAATATGCGTACACACAAGTTCGATCTGTAAAACGAATGCACGCAACATTCAGGTTGTGGAACAGGACTAGAGTTCAGAAATGGTCAAATGACCAGAATTTGCCGCCGGAGTTTTTAAAGCTGGTGAACGCGAAGAAAAATAAGATATTGATACACAGTCGTATGCAAACAACAAATCTGCAGTAGCATCCTATTCTTTTCGTTTTCTGCTTCTCTGCATATATGTATTGACAACCCCCCCCCCTCCCCTTCCCCACCCCCACCCCCAATCTCACTTAGAATGGTTTGTAGAGTAGTTTCAGAAGTTTCATGTAACTTCTGAAACTGTTTTCAATGCAACTAAGAGTACTAGCCCTTTGTTCTATGACTTCAACATTCTCAGGATGTTCAATATTTTAAAGTACTGTCTCGCTGCAGTCAAATAATAAAACGCATGCAACAACTGGAACATTCAACGAAGGCAGAGATATTAGGGTTTTGGGGTAGAAGCATGGGCGCTTGGACATATGGGATCCGTGACTCCCCCCCCCCCCGGAAAAAACCTTTGGGAGAGGGTTGAGGGCTCCTGTCCAATAATTTATATGAAAACTAAGCAGTCCCTCCTTCTCTAACACGCCCCATCTCTCGTCTTGATAGTACACTCTCTTAGACTGCTGTTCACGTCTCTCTTAATGTTGTCCTCCCACTTGGTACACTCTCTTAGACTGCTGTTCACGTCTCTCTTAATGTTGTCCTCCCACTTGTAACGTTGTCTACGTCTTGCTTTTCATTCCGGTATGGTTTTTCAAAGCTTGTTATGTCTATTAATATGAACTAAGTATTCATATTGTCTCTTTTTTTGTTTATTTCTTTCATTAATTTTTTTTTCCATCCGTAGTCTTTCCAGAACCTTTGTATTCGACTGTGTTTTGTTTCCATGAAATACGACCTATTATTCTATAAATCCACATTTCCAGAGGCAGTTCGATTATCTAGTTGCCGGTTCATTGTTCAAGTTTTTTCACCATACGGCAAAGTTGAGCATACATAACATTTGACGATTCTCATTTTTAATAGGTTGTTTATCTTTCTAGATGTCTGTAATTTGCGCGTCTTATTAAAGTTAGATTTAACAATTACTATTCTCTTTTCGATTTCTGTGTCACTTGTGCCTTAATATGTTACTAGTTACGCATCCAAGATAGGAAAAACTTGTTATTTGTTCTATTATATATAAATATATATATTAATGTGATATTCACTGTTAGTCACCTGTCTCCATTATTAATTGCTAAAGTTTTTGTTTTTTGTTTGATTGTCGAGTCTAAACCATACTCTGCACTCCGCCTGTTGACTTGATCCACAAGATCTTGTAATACCTGCTCGTTTTCTGCTAGTAACACGGTGTCATCAGCATATCTGTTGAGTTGAGTTGAGTCGAGAATTGACATCACAGCACTCAGGGCATTACCATGCATGCTCCGTCCTCATCTTCAGCAGCCAGCACAGTGTTGCAATACTGATGGTACCGGTCACAATCTGGTTAAAAGTCCGTCTTGCCTTTCCTCTGAGTGTAGTGAACCGGCCAGACTCTCTGGTTACACCCAGGTGCCTCTTTCTCTCCAGGCCATATTAATCTGCTTTCTCTACTGATTCCGTTGCTTGTTCCCAAAGGGCCTTGACCACATCTGCCCTGTCATGTATCAATTCACCACCCAGTGGTGCAGATCTAGCCAATCTGTCTGGCTGTTCTTTACCCACCACGCCGGCATTGCCTGGAGAAAAGATCTAAAGTATGCTCACCACCCGTGACCTTTCCAGTGAAGCTTGCCACTCTGCTCGAAGCATCCAGTCTTCACCTTTTTCAGCATCATTTCAGAATCTGTTACAGTTACGACATGTGTATGCATCTTGTTCTCTAGCCACCGGAGAGCTGCAGTTACTGCCTCCATCTCCATTTTCATGCTAGATAGTTGTGTTGTCATATGCTAGGCTGTCTTGCACTAAAGATTTTTCATTGGCTTTCGCTACGAACCCCCAGGCACTTCTCTTTCCTCTCAACACTGAACCATCTGTATAGATAGATAATCATATCACCTGGGCGTGAATTGTCGTGAATCAACTGTTGGACTTCCACCTCACCCGGCCCAATGTTGTCATAACCCTACATAGGTCAGACTTTCCCGCTGGTACTCTGACCTACTCCTCTCATCGCCCAATGTTCTCCAGCATGCATCCTTGTCTTATTGTGTCTTCTGTTTAAGCCATCCACGATTTTCCCCCTTTCAACCTATGACCTTTGCCTGCAGCCAAAGCTTCATACAGAGGGTGTTTCCTGTCTACAGCTACTCTGAGGTATGACTTAGCCTGCAGCACCTTTTAGCCTATCTGTAATAGTCGGCAATGCAAGGATGTATCGCATGCACACAATCGGGGTGTCTCTTGTTCAACCCAGGATCAGCCTCATAGCTTCATTTTGTATGCGCTCCAGTTTCTCTAGGTGACTCTTCGAGACAGTGAGTAACCCCAATCCATAATAAGTAACTGAGATGATTAAGTGCTGGTAAAGTGTGAACAAAATTATCTGCTCCATGCCCATCGCTGCCATAATCTAGTGCCTTTAGACCTTTTTGAGCCCTTGTCACAACCCCCTCTATGTGATTCCTGAAAGACAAACTTCTGTCAAAGGGGATTTCCAGGTACCACAGACTGCTGTTCCCTTT